AATCTCACACACACTCACTCACAATCTCACACACACTCATACTCACTCACTCACTCAAACCCACTCACTCACACACACTCACTCACTCCTCACTCACTCACTCACTCACTCACTCACTCACTCACTCACTCACTCACACACACTCGCTCACAATCTCACTCACTCACTCACTCTCACTCACTCACTCACACACACTCGCTCACTCACTCGCTCACTCACTCACTCGCTCACTCGCTAACTCGCTCACTCACTCACTCGCTCACTCACTCACTCGCTCGCTCACTCACTCACTCACTCACTCACTCACTCACTCACTCACACACACTCACTCAATCTCTCGCTCACTCACTCACTCACTCACTCACACTCACTCACTCAATCTCTCGCTCACTCAATCACTCACTCACTCACTCACTCACTCACTCACACACACTCACTCAATCTCTCGCTCACTCACTCACTCACTCAATCCCTCACTCACTCACTCAATCTCTCACTCACTCAATCACTCACTCACTCACTCGCTCACAATCTCTCACTCACTCACTCACACACACACAATCTCTCACTCTCTCACTTACTCACTCACTCACTCACTCACTCACTCACTCACTCACTCAATCAATCTCACTCACTCACTCACTCACTCACACTCACTCACTCACTCACTCACACTCACACACTCACACTCACACACTCACACACTCACACACTCAATCTCTCACTCACTCTCAGACACACACACACTCACACACATTCACTCGCAAACAATCAGATTTTTACACCTTCTGATCAAAATGTCGACTGTCACGATGCTACGGTGTTGTGAGTGGTTGCCAGGGTGTTGCTATGCAGCTGCTAAAAATACTCATCTATGTGCTTTTCAGATTTCAGCTAATGATTTTATCATTTTTAATATGAAAATAGTGTTAGCAAATATGTAGAATAGGAACATTATAGGATCCACAGTATAGGACAGACCATAGTCGTCGGTCACATGACAACATCATCTGCAGTTATACAGTCGGGCTCCAGAAGTAATAACTCATAATTCATTTTCTCTATAGGGAAACTGATTTTGAACGAGAACTTATAAACCTTTAAAGACTCTATGATTTTCAAATGTAATACTTAAGGTTAGAAAACTAATGTAATACTAAGCATAAGCAATAGCGATGCTTACCTTCACAAGCACCACTAACTAAACTCCAGTCGGTGAGAGAAGACACTGCGTAATTCAGTCATTTAGAGCTGTCTACCATTAATTCAGTTTATCACACATTGCATTGAATGTGTGTGTGTGTGTGTGTGTGTGTGTGTGTTTGCACGTGTGAACTGTGTGCGTGTGCATTAGAGCCAGAAATAGTCTGAGCTCAGCACTGCTTCCTGCAGCAGAAAATAAAAAAATCATAATAAACTGAAAGGTTAAGCATCTTGCCTTTACACAAACACACACACACACACACACACACACACAGTAGGTGCAACACACCCACACCATATGTACACGAACACACACACACCCACACAACACAACAAAACAGTCAGGCATCGTATCCGTCTGAGAGCACACTTACTGTACACACAAAATCAGAAGCACAGCACATGTGAAAACATATGAAACACACCCACACAATACTAACACACACACACACACACACACACTGAACTGATGACTGTGTGTCCCTCGTCCCCTGAAGGCAAAGATCAATTCTGCCCCTCCGACTGAATGATTGCCTTTCCTATCCATCAATCAACCTAATCTCACAGCATCAGCATAGATTAGACAACAAAATCAAACACACACACACACACACACTGATATTACCTAATATAACTTCCAGTATCCTCAAATGATTGCTTTAAAAATACAGTGTGCATTTACAATTCATGTACATGCTCTTCTAAGTTTTATGAGAAAACACACTTATTATATGACTGCTTATTTAGCAGCAATGGATATATAAAGTGGTCACAAGGATTCTAAGATGGTTGCCGGCGTTGCTATTGTGTTTAGAATGATTTTACACACCTTAGATTAATACTTATAAGGGGAGTGTTCAAAACACCAACTCTAAGTATGTGCAACAATAGTAATCACACATCAGTTACACTCTAAAATAAATTGAGCTGCTACATTGTTTGGCGGGTTAATGAATTAAAAAGAATATTCTTATTATTATAATCATTAAGTAATTTGGAAAATGTATGAATGATGCATATTATTATTATTACGCATCATTCATACATTCTGCAAACTACTTTAATAATAATTATAATAATATATGTTTTGTTTTTATTTAAACAATAGGCCTATTCAATTATTATATATTAAACTATATATAATCTGGTTATTATTATATCTTTTCTAAATAGTTATTAAATAATTAATATTATATAAAAGATGAAGTATAATACTGATATTTATATAGTTTCATTTTATATATAGTAGTGCTGTCAAATCCGATTAATAACATCTAACAAGTTTGTAAATAAATAAAATAAATATATATATATGTGTGTACATACATACTGTACATACATACACACATACTGTATATTATATATTTACAAACCATTGTTAGATGTGATTAACAGCAATTAATATATATATATTAGTGCTGTCAAATCAATTAATTGCAATTATTATACGTGTATATCAGTATTTATATACGTGTGTGTGTGTGTTGTATTATATTATTTATTATTTTAGGGAAATAATCAGTAAAGAGCACAGAACTGATATGACTGCGGATGAATTACCAATGCAAAGCAGAGATAAATCAAGTCCAGAAAGCGTGGCCTTTATTCACGCACCTTAAAGCCTTACACTTCTGTCCGAGGAGCTGCTTTTGCTCCCAAAACTAAACCAATTAGCATATACTCATGCATATGTATTCAAACAAGCTGTTGTCCCGAATCCTGAGGAATTTTGAGTGCAAAATTGTGCTGCCAGTACTTGGACAGAGCTTTCAAATGTTAGTTTTGCCAAGAAAACTACTTATCCAGCCCATCTGAATGTTAACACCTCTCTGTAATGTCTCTGTTGAAACAGCAAACCCTGGACGAACTGTCCGTCAGAGCTCTTACTGAAGCGTTCCCACTGACCCGCCTGTATTTCTGCTTCTGTACCGAGAGTCATGTATAAATAAGTCATGTTTTTGCACACAAACGGATTGTAACCTGCCAGGTGGTAAAAGAATAAAACAAAACAATGTGCAATAAACAACATCTTGTCATTTCATGTCTAAACATATTTTCATTTTTCTTCACTAAATCTCTTGAAGTGCTTTTCTGACCAATGGCGACTTCTTTTGAGTGTTTTTGGGTCTGAAGGCGTTTTCCCTGTTCTTATCCAGTGGTTGGACTGGAGGTTTGTGAGCGCACGGCTACTCAAAGACAATCTGTGTTATTAAAAGCATCAATGAAACTGAACTGAAATATCAATACCAACATTAAAATGACCAATAGAGTTCAGTGCCCGGACACGTTGGTTCGGAAAGTATTTTTCCATTCGCTTCTCCCATAGGGATTTCTATGAAGTCTTCATTAAAGCGTTATAAGCCATGAACCAAGACAATCAGCAACGAGGTAAAGCATAAGATTACAAACTGTAATTCGAAGCAAAAAAGTATTTGAAAATCTTACAAAAATACAAAAGATTGGGAAGAAACTACAATCCCATGAAGCATTGCGAACAGCATAATGGAATTAAAAACGGTGGAGAAATATAAAACTACGCACTTAATAGAAATAAAAAAAATGTATCTATTTTAAGTTTATTGCAAAATATGCACATATTTTTCAATATTTCAGTATTTTGAGAGTGTAGGGAGACTGCTTCATGAAAATGGGCGGAGCAATCTTTTTTTTTTTTTTTTTTTTTAGGCGTGTTGCTTGTTTCAACTTTGATTGGTGGGATTTTCTGTACAGCATCATGGGTAATGTAGTTTTCCCACCATGAATTCTGCTGTTAAACATGATTATTTTAAAACTAAGTTGAAATGATGGGGGCTGACGGCTAAAACAGAAATAAATCAATTTAATTAACAAGCTTGGCTGTTTTTAAAGGTTTATTGTTAAAAAAAAAATGTATTTCCCTATGGAGAAAATGAAGTGTGTGAAGAATTTAACTGAAATAGGCTGAATTTAACAATCAATATTGTGAAAAGCAATAAAGAAGTTTCATTGAACTGATCTAAATGGAATCGAGTTGAGCAATCCATACTGTTAAAAGTGCTAACGAGTCAAACTGACTTGAGTGAACTGAACCGAATTAATCTGATCTGAAATTTCAAGTCACAAAAAAACACAAAAAAAAAAACACACACACACTCCCACAAAGCTGCATCGCCACATCCTTGGATTTAATATCTGCCAGTTGCTGCTTTGAAAATGATATAGGAACATATATCATATTAAAATATAAACACTTCCATTCAAAAGTAAAAATAATACTTTTATTCAGCAAAGATGCATTAAATTGCTCAAAAGTAACAGTAATGACATGTATAATGTTAGAATGATTTCTGAAGGATCATGTGACACTGAAGACTGGAGTAATGATGCTGAAAATTCAGCTTTGATCACAGGAATAAATGACATTTTACACTATATTTAAATAGAAAATGGTTATTTTAGCAGTATTTCACAATATTACTGATTTTCGATCAAATAAATGCAGCCTTGCTGAGCTTAAGAGACTTCTTTCACAGACATAAAATAGCATGCATAAGTGTAATTTCCACATATTAGCAAACAGAACCAAGCGAGTGTCGAGCGCCTTCAGTAGCAGTGCTGATGTCTAGTGTACTACTACCAGAGTAACAGCCACTGACTGAACATAAGGACCTCTCTCAGTCTCACACACACACACACTCCTGTACTCATTCATTCCAACTGTCCGTCTCGCTCCATATCGGCCTAGAGAAACGCATGCACACACATGCACATCGACGCACGGGAGGATGCAGTAACCATAGCAACCTGCTGCTGCTTACCTGCTCTTGTATGAGCTGAAACAGAGAGCTTCTATCCATATACTGGGCCCTGGTGCACACACAGCCACAAAAAGAAGGACATAGGGGGATTTCACACACAGAGACACGTCCACACACACACACGTTCGTCCGTCTGTGCGGCACGCCTCCCCGACGGGGACAGAGACCCCTTGCACACACTCTAGCGAGGGCCAGTGGTGTATCCGCAGGATTCCCTCCAGTGAGGTTTGCTCCAGCTTTGGCTGATCCCAGATGGGTTCAAATCCAAAGTCCCAGTCAGCATCCAGAACCCATAGATCTTTGTGACACTTTTGCACCCGCTTCCATCCAGCTTAAAAAAAATCACCTTCAGCTTGCAGTCAATGCACTTTCTGTCCCTTTCCTTCCTCTACTCTACCCTTCCGTCCCTCTCCGCTCGCCCGTCTCGTTGTGCTCGTATCGCCTTTACCTATGTAAATCTCTCCCTCTCTCGCCCTCTCTCTCCTCTGTCCTCCACAAAGACCGTACTACCTGAATACCAATGAAGGAGGGGAAGGAGGCGGCGGTCTCCGGCCAATCAGAGGCCAGGGGGGCGTGTCCAAAGAGCTGCAGCTCTCCATCTACCCTGCAGGAGTCTTAAAGAGAGACTTAACACACAAACACACATTCACTGCAGTGCACACACACACACATACACACACACACAGCGCAAGCGCACTCAGGTTTCCTAAATCAGACATTAATCACACACAGCAGATACTACAAACCCTAAAACACGCTGTTCAGTCACAGCTTGTGCTTGTAATATGGTGTTCACATACACATACTGAAACACACTAATTAAGTCATTTGGCTTGGTTATTATCTCTGTGGACTGTTTAACTGTGGTAATAAAGATGAATCTCTAAAGTCCAAAATGCCTCTGTGTTATTCATGATGGTATGAATGAATAAAAGTAATCTAGTGGATGTTAATGGCAGTCTTATGTTAGGGAACGTTTAGAGGATTATTATCATCAGTGGTGCAAAAGTGTGGGATTAAAAAAAAAATATATATATATATTAGGTTTGCATATGATGAGGATCTGGTCTGGTTAGCAGTGGTACTGACCCCTCGTGTGAATATACTGCTCTTCTTGGATATCTGGGTCATCATTTTAACACAGTTTGTTTCAGATTGACCCAACTCAGACTAGGAAGCAGCCAAACTGGTAAAAAAAAATAAATAAAAAAAATCTTTGCATTAAGCCTGTAAAAAATCTCAACAGATTTTCACCCGAGGCTAAACAGGCTGTGCAGATTTCTTACACACAAGACTGTATGACAATACGCTCTAATTGTTGGTGATTTTAAAGTTCGCATTGATTTGATTTGAGATACAACAAAATATATATGATTATTTAAATATATCAAAATATAATATATATATATATATATATATATATATATATATATTTATATCAAAGTATACAACAAAATATATATAATTATTTAAATATATCAAAATATAATATACATATATATTTATATCAAAGTATACAAAAAAAAATCTAATAAAGATTTTAAAATATTTTTACATAAATATATTTCCTAAATAGGCCCATTTTAATATATTTGTAATACATCAGAATATATTTAAAATATATATCAATATATACTATATATATTAAAATATATATCTAATATAGATTTTAAAAAACATTTACATAAATATATTTCCTCAATTGTGTGGTTATTATATATGTATATATAGGACAAGAAAAGAAAAGAAAAGAAAACTTGAAAAAAATACTGTTTATATGCTTAAAAAAATAAGTGTTAAAAACCATACTTTTTGCTGTATGGGTTTCTGTAGCACAAACGGTTTGGGACGAGCTACACACCAAAATTGATCACTCAGTGTTAGGGGTTTATTCAAATCTCTAACCCTAATTATGAACAATGTAGTGATGCCAGAGTCAGCAAACACCACTAACAATCGCAACAGATTTTAACCTGGAGCTAAACTGATTGTGCAGATTTTCTTCTTATACAGAAGTGTTATAACACACTCTAATTGTTGGTGATTTGACAGCTCACATGGAAATAAAAACACTATCGTGCAGGTTCACCCTTTCCTGGTCTCTTCTAGAATGACCATAAGCCAGCATTTTGATTATACGCTGACCATGATCATCTTTATGAATATGTCTGGTGTAATTGAGACCTGGCTGTTACATCTACAGCGTCTCCATCAGGTGTCACGGTGGATCAATGACGCTGACGGACACTTCATCAACTAAAGTGTGAGTTCATTTGTGACTTATGATATTCATTCTTACTGATACTTGTGTGCATTACTGGCCTCATGTTTATGAACTTCATGACCTTCACGACTCTGGTAGCATAATATAAGACAGACAGCAGTACTGACCTTGATCAATGAGCATAAATCCCCATTAAATCTGTTTTTCAGAGGAATCATTAATCAATATATTTTTCCTGCATGTAATCACATTAGCCGCTGACTATGAGGTGTGGATTCAAAGTGCATCAGCACAATAACCAGTTGCCATATTTAGATTATTTATATGCACATCTTTTATTTGTTGATTTGTAAGTGAACTAATTAAATAAAATATATTGTTAGAGCCAATTATAGAGGGAAATGATCATTTTTGCCTCATTTACACACAGTAATCGCTGCAGAACAGAGCAGTGCTGCCCTCTCCTGCTCAAACTTATGCAAGTCATTCCCTATTCACCATATAGGACACAAAGACTTTTATTCCACACTTGCATCCACACATGTCTCTTACTGGACATTTTAAAGACATATAAGTATGATGCTGAACAAATCAAAGTTTTCAACCCAATATCCCCATATCAATTCACGATATTAAATTAGCAGGGTCCAGTTCATTACAAAAATCGTTGAGTCCTTTATAAATAATGCTTCAGTCTTATATACTATTGTTTGAGTCATATGCCTATTCTGGAGGTCAGTCTGTAATTTCATGTATTTTACCTGCCGTTAATAACTAACTTTTAACAGACCTGAATTTATATGCTTTTGTGCTTTATGTGAAATTCCATAACATATAATGCACAAAACCATAAAATTTTAAAAGACATTTTTATAGACAATTACACTTTTGTCATGTAGATATAAGCCATACCGTATTTAACAGGAAGCTCGCGTGACGCCTGCCTTATAGTCTGATGTCATGCAGTGATGCAAGTGCTCATCTGCTACAGTGCCTATGGGGAAAAAAATAAAATTGTTAATTACAGCATATTAAATGGCAAAATACAATAATTCTGGCATTGTGTGGAGGAAACTACAGTATTCAGTGGTCAATACACTGGGTTATTATTGCCATTACATGAGTAAATAATAGGCCTAATAATGAAAAATACATATATGTAATTATTTCCTGGAGGAGTTTACCTTGGTATTTCTGTCCTACTGTTATTATGTCAACATATGTGCATCTATCTATCTATCTATCTATCTATCTATCTATCTATCTATCTATCTATCTATCTATCTATCTATCTATCTATCTATCTATCTGTCTTATATACATATGATATTCATCTAATTGACATGGGTAGAGCCAGACTGAGGTAAGGTGCTGTTTTCAGCACTAGACACCTGCAGAACAAGTACGTATCAAACACACGCGCACACACACACACACACACGGGAATGACAGTGATCACAGGTGTGCGTGATGTGCACTGAGCTTAATACCTACTATGATGTAATTCTGTTACAATCCAGTGCAAGTGTAACAAAAGAAGCCATATCTTTAAGAGTCCATGGCTGTCTAGCAGAAACTAATAATCAATATTATAATAAAATCAAAAGATTAAATAATGTTCCATTTTGAATGTTATCCATGAGAGGAAACTGCCTGCGCACTAGAGTTAAAGCGTCACGCGCTCAAACTTGAGTACAAAGTTCAAATAAAAAGGCTATTAATCTGGTTCATCAATTTAAGTTTAATTACAAATAATAGAGTAGTCTAATTAAAAGTTCTGTAAAGCGGGCTTACAATAGATGTGAACAGAAAACCCTGAAGTGAAGAGATTCAAGATGGCGTTCTGACTGAAACACCATCCAGCCTGGAAATGTGAATAACAGAACAAGCAGGAGCGATATAAATATAACTGTGCATCAGCCCGATAAGAGCCTGAACTAAATTGATGACTTCAAAAGTGAACAGTGGGAAAATAAGGGAAAACAAACCGACGGGATACGCGCTTCCCTGCCAAACGGAGAGATAACAAAAGAATGCGCGAGCGTTTAAAGCATCCAGCCCAGTTTGATCAGTCTTAATATGTTTATCAGATCCATAACGCACAAACCACCGGGAATGCATACACAGATCGATATGTTCAACCTGACCACGGTACCGGTGGGTTCTGGTCGGTAAAGCTGGTCTTTGGGTCGTTGGCAACTTTCCTAACATCCGAGCTCTTCTTCCAGAACACTCAGCATAGGAGCTGCTTCTTTATATACTATAACGTTTTACTCGTTTATATCTATAGCTCATACATTACACCGACACCTCTTAAAATGTGTGAATATGACCCACAATATGAGAACCACTTTATTTCGCGCACATTTAATTTATAGAAGGTTTAACAATAAATAATCGGAGAAACGTCACGCGGACTCAGTGGCCAGACTGTGTTAGTTCGTCAACTACTTCGGCTTATTAAAAACGAAAACGACGTTTTTTATGAATCAAACCCACCCTGTCCTCCAGTGTGTTGATGGGGCTTTCATATACATTCAGTGTTTTCCGGCTCGGTTTCGTTGTTTTGTGCTATTTTTACGCGAATTCTGCAAAATCCATCACCACGCTCGCCGGTTTGAGCTGATTTTCAGGGAAAAAAAGTTAATGGCGCAATGAATTCAGGCTAAACCGACACACGCACATGAAGCCCAAAGCCTCCCCTCTCAGACCGTGGCGTTAGGAGGGTCGGTATCAAACGAGTGTGGCTGAATTCGGCCTCAGTTCGAGGAGGAAGAAACACAAACCAGCCCGCGCAGATTTCATGGAAGCCCGCTTGATCAGCTGCTGGCAGTTGGTGTTCTCAATCACGTCCGCGTGGAGGCTTCATATATAGTACAGGCGCACTTCGGCGAATAATATACACACTTTCAACGGCACTCATTTGTGGGTTATTTGAATAAATATTTTAATTCAAAACTAAACAAAGACCAAGGTGTGACGCGGAGGTAATTTCATCGGCTTTCACCAATTTTTAGCAGCTCCTCAAGAATTTCCTCTCACTTTCTCGTGAAAGAGTTTTTGACAGTTGTGTTTTTGTTTGAAATCCTCCAGGATCGACCATGGCTGAGACGGCAGCAACCCCCGCATCCAGGCCCAAGAAGGCGAAAAGCTCCAAGAAAGCGGCGTCGCATCCCAAATACTCTGACATGATCAAAGCGGCCATCGCCGCCGACCGGAGCCGCAGCGGCGCGTCGCGTCAGTCCATCCAGAAGTACGTGAAAAACCACTACAAGGTGGGAGACAACGCCGACTCCCAGATCAAACTCGCCCTGAAGCGTCTGGTGGCCGGCGGGCTCCTTCGCCACACCAAGGGCATCGGAGCTTCGGGATCCTTCAAACTGGCCAAAGCTGATGACGTCAAGAAGCCCGAGAAACCCAAACCAGCAGCCGTGAAAGTCAAGAAGCCAGCCAAAGCCGCTGCCAAACCCAAGAAAGCCCCCAAGCCCAAGAAAGTGGCGAAATCCCCAGCGAAAACTAAGAAAGCAGCCGAGAAGAAAGTGAAGAAGGTGGCGGAGAAGAAGAAATCGCCTGTCAAAGCCAAGAAAGTTGTCAAGAAGGCGAAGGTGGCCAAACCGGCCAAGGCGAGCAAAGCCAAGAAGGCGAAAACGGCGAGACCCAAACCCAAGACATCGACCAGGAAAACGGGGAAAAAGAAGTAAAGGGATTTCCAGCCGACGGACTGATTCATTCAAAACTCGGTGTAAATAAACTTTTTTGAAGCAAATGTTTTTTGGTATATTGTTATTTTTCTAAGGTCTTTGTGCGCGGACTTCAACCCCGCACTTTTACAGCGTGTTTCTCCAGAAACTTTTTTTGTGCGCAATTGTGACTCTATAAAGAAGATCCGAGACATCGAAACGGCTAAACTATTTATTTAAAAAAAAAAAAAATTCCTGGACTTTTTCTTTTTCTTCTTCTTTAAGTTGAACTGTGTTGCACACTATTATCATCCTCATCCAGAGACATACTAATTAATTTGTCAATTAGATATGTCGATAGGAGATATATTCTTATTTTTAGGTCATTCTAGGACTGTGAAGAACAATAAAAAAATGTCTTTGTATGAAGAACGGTGACTTATATGATGGCGATGTACAGAATCAACTTGTGACGTGGACTGTTGTAATTAGCTCCATTGCTGTCCATACTGTGCATCAATAAACTTCTCTCATTTCAAACGCAGTAGTTTGTCTGGTGTTTTCATGGAGTGCGAGCAGATTAAACGGGTACTATGACACTCTGGTCCCGCGAGAGATGGGGGTCTTCAGGGACCGCAACCTCCAGTTGATCTCAGAGCGAAAGGTGAAGCGCATCTTTGGGTTTGACTCAGTGCTGCCCCCGCGGTCTCGTCGGAGAACTGCAGCTGTCAGTGTCACGCTGGGGCAAATGCAAACGCTTTGATGACGTGTAATGCGGTGACACGCAGGGCCATTGTCGAGAAACACAATCCAAATGAAAACAATCTCAAACTGAAAGAAAAAAGTAAACTGAAAAAGAAAATAAATGCCCACATTAGTTTAGTTTGATACACAGCATAATATAAGTCTTTACAATATGCGTTAGTTAATCATGAATAACATGATGATAATAGTTTGAAGTGCTACATATTCTTCTCAAAGACTTGGATGTATTTCTTTAAAAGAGTTCAAATAAAATAAAATGTACCGAAACTTATTCTAAAGTATAAAACAAACACACACACACACACAAAAACATTAAACTAAAGATCAAACTGAAAATAAAACAGCCATATATATATATAATTCTGCATTATAGACTACTTAACTATTTTTAACATAAAATCTTCATAAAACATAAACATTCATTTGTGATACTGCATGACTATTCAAGTAAACTCCAAAAACAAAGTGATTAAAAAGGTGAATGTAAAATAAATGTACACTTTCCCTTATAAATTTACAGTAAAGTCGAGACCTCAATCCAAACCTGAGATTTTTTTTTCCAAATAACCCTGGAAATATTAGGCCTAACATTTTTGAAACAAATTAAAATCACATCATGTTGAAATATTTCAGATTTCTGTCTCTAATCAAACGTAAATAACGAAGTGACTGTACAGATGGTCAGATTCTCTTTCTTCCACTGAAGCTCAAGATGCTCTTCAGAGTTTAGATCATCATAAATCATGCTGGAGAACATGATCAGCAGGTTTTTGTTATTAAACACTTTACTCAAAAAGTTATGCCAATACTTTAATTTACCTCAGATGTTTGGACACCCCTGTATAATGTTTAGACGTTATATATTTTATTCTAGTTGTTGGACACAACTTTCCAAACTCACCTCAAGCATCTCTCCATGTATTTTGCAGTGTTCTTGAAACGTGATGCTGTATCGTCTGAATAGAATTGAGATACTGATACAAGAGGACCTGCCTGACACATTTATGCATTAAAAGTTGATTTCTATTACAGAAATATATAAAATGGCTGAATGGTTATGAGACAAAACAGAATAACATGAAAGACCTCAACGAAAGATAATCAGCCAATCAGCCTCTTGGGCTCAGAGTCATGTGATCAATCAAAACACACCATTTTCCACATGCTGATGTCATAGAGCACAGTAAACAAAAATCACCAGAAAAAAATGCTAGTTTATTACAAAATATTTCTATTCGAACATTCTGGCTTCATTCCAAGCATCTCGTTTGATACTGAAGCTGGAAGATCATGTCGGACAAGACAAGCCTGGGGGATCTTAAAGTTGAGCTCAGCATTTTAAATACTGGGCATTAATACTGAACAAAATATTGAAATTATGAAAATTAAAGCAATGAATCCGCACATCCACAGTCAGTTCTGTCTTTCTGAAGGAATATCTGACCATGCAAATTGCTAGACAGTCCCTTCAGTGTTGAGTAAATGTTTTTAGGCTGAAATGAAACCCTTTTTTTTTTATTTTACTTGGCCCAATAAACAGTAACAGTTCTGAGATAAATCCAGTTTGGACAATATTATAATTAAATACAGTCAGCCAAGTCATCCTCTACGGTCTATCCTGGTCTATAGGACGGCCAAAGCATCAGAGCATTTCATCTTCTTAAAATATCATTTAAAATACACTTATTAACACCATCCATCCCTACTGCATTCATTCACCCCTACAATCAATATAGGCAAAGCAAGAGTTTGGGCCCAGTTTAGCGATGTCCAAAAGCATCAATGGGTTTTGCCTCGGCATCTTAAAAAAAAATATAACAATAACAGTAATTTGTCAGTCATGGTCCATGCACAGAAACAGCCATCTGAGGAACATGACATGGACATTTATTCAGTTTTAATATCAGCCAATATAGAAGATGCCCTTCATTTAGTTGATTGCTTGCTTTAAATGGGTTAAATACAAGTGAAACCGGGTTATTTTCAGATGAGATCACCCGTCGCATTTAATAACTAGAGCTTAACTTCGATTTAACCCAGAACTTACTTCAGCTTCTCAAATATTATGAGAGGATGAGTTATGAATTAAATTAAAGTGCATTTCCTGAAATGGCAGAGGAAAAACTGAATGGTTGACCCCGAAACTGTTTCAGAGTTTGAATACATTCACATGGAATATATTCTAGATCTATATTGATTTCCCAAACTCTTAAATACATTACAAACTCTGTACAATTCAAAACATAACCTGTTATATAATTTCTTAATGTTGTTCCTCTTGAAACGCGTCCCTTGGGGGTCGACCGATGCAGGTCATACAGTAAAGCCGGCAAGTTTTCGTAGTGAAAGCAAAGCATGTGTGTAATACTTTAGTCCAGCTGAAGAAAAAAGAAAAAGAAAACCAATCGACTGCTTAATTGTGTTGTTGTCACTGTAACTAGCAGGGCTTCACACCCTTGATAAGCCACAATGACTCTGTAAGGCCAAGACAGAGTGCAGGAAATGAAGGAGTGTGTGTTTATCTGTGTTGTGTACGAAAGGCGCGCGAGCATCATTTGTGTCGGCTGAAGGCTCTGAACAGAGCGAAGCCCAGCATGGCCGCTATCGTGGCGCCCAGAGTCACACGCAGCCAGAAAGATGTGCTGCTCATGTCTGATCCGTTCAGGTGCCTGCAGACAGACAGAGAGAGAGAGAGAGAGAGAGATTTAAATACACACAGTATTTCTAGCGACCTTGATGACACACACACACAGACACACACACACACAGTCAAGCGGGCTAATTTTAGTCTGGCATCCGCAAATCTTTCAAGTCAACGTGCAATGTTTGTAAGCCATTTTACTCAGCAGAAATATTTACGAGTGGCATGCGATATTCAAATACAAAAACAAGGTCATTTTATCCAACAGGAATTGATTGGATCATGAGAAGTGGGTGTAAGAATAAGAGGGCTTGGCAACATCAACTCGAGAAATGGGTTTAATTTAAAACGAGTTGAATTTAAAGTGCAATTTAGCAACTTAATTAAAAATGTAAAAATAATTTATATGCATGTATATTTGTTTTTAGGACTCTACAAGTTTGATTAAACCATCAAAATAGGAGGAAAATATTTTATATTCTTTTAAATATTTTAAATATAAGGGTAGAGCAAAACACTAAATTTGATTAAGGTAATTTATCTGACAAAATTGTTTGGCAGAAAAAGGCAAACTACAGCTACAGGTTTAATGTTTGCCATGAAAAATAAATAAATAGAAAAACAAAAAGCTCAGAAAAAAAAGCATACATTGACTACATTGTTCTTTCTTGTTTTTCATGTTTTCATAGTTTCTTTGTATGACAGCCTGGCCAAACATTATGACAATTTGACGTTTCATTGCATTATCACACATAACACAATCGACTCCATGCACAACTACGCAATGTTAACTCTTTAACACATTTTTTTAAATAATATTTGAATAAAGGGTGAAGTTGTCGATTTTGGCTTCGTTCTTGTACAGTATATATTTAAAATTAAATGGTAAGATGCGTGTGTACTTACGGGTACATGGCGGCCCAGGTGAGCTTGCTGTAAATGTGTGTGTGAGTGTGTGTGAGCAGCGTGGAGAAATGGAGGGGCGAAGGCAGCCGGTGTTTGTAGCAAAACTCAGACGGGCTCATCCCATGATGCTGTTTGACTTCTATCAGATCAGCTTTGGAGCCCACCACCACACACGGGATCCCGCTGTCCATATAGTGCTGCTACAGGGGAGCAATGCAGAAACACATTTCATCAGTCATCGCTTGATTTACTCAACTCTACTGGCACTTCAACCAGAAACCCTATTAAACCATCTGTGGTTTATCACAATGACAACGAGGGATCACAGGCCTAGTTTAATGACATGGACTTTAGGAAACTCAATAGTCAAACACCATACACTGTAAAAAAAAAAATCCCGTTGTTTTTACGGAAAAAAACTGGCAGCTGTGGTTACCAGAACATTACCGTCAAAAATACTTAACTTAAAATTTACAGTAATAAACCGTATTTCATTATCTGATATAATGTTAATTTACCAACCTATTGAAGTATTAATTATCTGTTTTGTACCATTGTAATACACTGAGAACCGACAATCATCACAGCAGAGATGAGAGTCACATGATCAATCAAACCTCATCACAAGCAGCTCTTCCACAAGAAAGTTAATACTATTATCTAGAAGCTGCACAAGCATTAAACACCATCATGGTAACATACATGAAATATTAAAAATGCAATAAACATTAATTTAACAACATTAAATGTAACATAAAACCCTAATGTACATAACTGATTAGAAAAGAACTAAGAAAACTAAGAAGAAACAGTTATTTCAACAAAAATAAATCAAATGTGAAGTGTCACGCAGGGAATTGTGGGAATGTCAATTTACGGTTTTTCACTTTCAAAAACTGTAAATTTAACGGTATTTTACAGTAATGTACCGTTAGATCTATCACAGTTATTTACCGTATATAGTAAGGAAACTTTCTGTTAACCAATTACCAGTTTTGCACTGTATCATTTTTACCGTTAAAATCACGATAATTTTTTACAGTGTACACATTAAAATGTGCCATTTAGTCATTAAAGGGATAGTTCACCAAAAAAAAATTTTTTTTAATGAAATCTGAGAGCTTTCTGTCCCTCCATTGACAGCTACGCAACTACCACTTTGATGCTTCAAAAAGTTCATAAAGAGATCGTAAAACTAATCCATATGAATTGAGCAGTTACTCCAAATTTTCGCTTTAGAGACTCGATCGCTTTATAAGATGAACAGATTTAATTTAGGCTTTTACAACGGATGAGTAATGACACTATTTTTATTTTGGAGTGAACTATCCCTTTATGCTGAAAGAAAGTATGAATTCTTAAAAAAAAAATATATATATATATCTTACTGACCCCAAACATGTGAACAGTAGGTTATGTAATTTAATTTAAATACACTATTAAGGCCCAAGAGATAAATTCAGCTTTCTATCAATGAAGGCCATCAACATGATGAGTGTCCAGCCCAGATCATTAGATGCGCCATACATTTATTTAATAACTAAAAGTGCATGTTAGCCACACAGGTGAAATGAATAACTCACATCATCATAAATTATTCACTGACAGAAGCAGGTCATTATGGGTTATTAATTCATTGGATGATCTGTTATTTAATGTGATTAATGAATATGAGTTTGTCAAGCACTACTCCACAACTAAAGCCTCTTGTTTCTCACCTTATATATACTAGCACAATAGTTGAACGAGTCCGGGTCGCTGACATCATACATGAGACACGCCACATCACACGCTGCATCTGCTGCTTTTAGAAACTCTGTTTCCACGTCCACCTCCTCCAGCTGCGAGGAATAACACACACGTCAGGGGGGAAACCAATAAACTAGGGCATGCGTAAAGCTTGAGGCGGCACTTACGATGAGGTACTTCTCCTGATTGGCTACTGAGATGGTGTTGATGGTGTATATTGAAGGGGGACCAGGGTCACAGTCATTTCTCTGAAAATAAACACATCATCAGCAATGTAAATATTTGGTAGATCTAAATGAGACTACTGGGAATCACACAATGGATAATTATTTCCTAGACAGACTATAAAGTGTGGAAGAATACCAAAAGTAGAGCAAGAAAACCCATCTCAAGTACTATTACAAGAGAAGAGGCTTAGTAGACGAAAACAATTAAAAATAAACTGTGGAGATGACAAATCAGCATTGTCAACTTTATCTTTGCAGCTGACAATGACTCACTAGAAAACACTAGTTTATTAATAAATGATTAATGTTCAGACAGTCTCATTTGTTTTTTATGGACACATTCATAATCATTACTTTTGCCAGTGTCGCTGTGGCAAGCTTTATGTGTGTGTTCAAGTGCTTAATTTATATAAGGCTCATTGTTATGGTTTATTATTTCTCTGTAATATAGAACAATGTTAGCAATGTTAATATACTTTCTTCCTGTAGCCCTGAAACTCATTTTCCAATGCAACCTCCTTGTATATACAGCATTTATGTAATTAAATTAATATCATAAACGTGCGACTAGTCGATTAATGGCTTAAATTAATGACTGCTAGTCGACTAGAAAAATCTTTACTCAGGGGACAGCCCTACTTATATATTAATATTAATGTTCTTTCTTTACTGTATGTCATGTGTTTTAATTAGGGCTGTCAGTTAAACGCGTTATTAACGGCGTTAACGCAAACCCATTTTAACAGCGTAAATTTTTTTATCGCGCGATTAACGGTCTTTTTGGCCTAGCAAACTTTGTAGTTTTTTTCACATGCTTTTGCAACAGGACACGGGATGCGCTATGAAACCCATTCATTTCAATGGCTTGCGCCACGCGAGGACGTTTTGTTGCTTCGTCGACCAAAGCGCAAGCGGATCTAGCTAGACCGGAAACAAAACAACAGGCACACCGCACACACTCGTTTGGGCTTGCGAGCCGGCCAAATAGTAGGTTAACGTTACATTTTGAGTGGATGACGAGCGCGAGACGCCGAAATGGATGCCAATAAGATTCTGAATGGAAAGTTTCCCTTTAAAAGTTGCCAAATGATTTTTTTGTCGTTGTGAACTGAGCTATCATTGATGGCCAAGCACACACACACACAGCTGATGCGAATTCTCCGCCACCTCGTCAATATCAGGACCTCGTCAGTATTTCTTTCACCCTTTTATTGATGGACAGTGTTACATTGTGTGAGAGATTATTTGCTCCAAGTGAGAATGTTAGTGTGAAATTGAACACAGTATATGCCAATGTTGTTTTCAATAAAAAATATTTGCACAAAGCAAGCCGATCCACTTTTCCATGTTGATAAGAGCATTAAAATGAGAAAAAGGAATGGGACAAAAAGAAATCAAGAGACATTTGGAATAGATAAAAATGTGAGATTAACTGCGATTAATCGCGAGTTAACTATGACATTAATGCGATTAATCGCGATTAAATATTTTAATCGTTTGACAGCACTACTTTTAATTTGTACAAATTAAAGAAGTACAAACATCAGCCAGTGGTGAAATCTCATTGGTCCATTAAAAGATTTTAAACATCATATACGTTCTGATTCGACTGCGGTATGTTGTGACGGGCTTCATGCAGTATTTTGTAAAGTAAAAATTACACACAAAAGTTTTGCTCTCAAGCCACTTTCTCACCTCAGTGCTTCGCTGCAGAAAAGCTCGAAGAAAGTCTGTCTTTCCCGTTCCGCGCGGACCGATCACTTTGCAGAGGAAAACCGTCCGCTGTGTCTGTCTCTTGTCCAGGTCTAATGCCTTTTCTCTTGTTACTAATATACACACACAGAAAAAACCCCCAGAAATATTCTTTAGCATCCGTTTGACCAAACATGCGTGGAGTTTAAAGCCGGTCTGTGTGTGGATCTCATTACCCGTGACAGCGGAGGTCTGGGACTCTCGCTCCATTAGGATCGGATACCCGAGGTATCCCAGATGCTCCAAACACCGGTGCACATCCAGATAAGCAGATAACCTGCAGTTCATACAATAACACATCATATTTAAAGCAATGTGGAATAATAATACAGAAACATTTTCATAAAATTCTGCTTTTCAGATTCCAGGTTGGATACAAATTTTGGATTAAAGGCAACCTCTGTGCCAGTTTCCTGCACCACTCCTGCTGAATCTACAGGCAAAACAAGTCTCATTTTACCCAAGTTTGCTGGCAAAGTTTAATGTGAAACGAGAATACCAAAAAAGATGGCATGAATACAAATCTTAATATAAAGTTATAATAAATATTTCAGCAATTCACAAACAATTCGTTTTAGTGGTCCAAATACACACAGGGGAACTAGGCTGATAAAAAAATTAACATTTATGAAGAAGTTTTTTTTTTTTTTTTTTTTAGTAAGTCATATATTTGACATACAGCGCAGCCAGTGTAGTCTGATTCAAATGACTCCCAGCCTTATGGACTCTTTTTTTTCTGGGAAATCATAAACATACAGCACCGCTAGCGTAGTCTGACTCCCGAACAAATGACTCTTAAAAACAGGTTATTTTCAGTGAATCATAATAAAGATCAAGTGTAGTCAGGTTCACAAACAAATGACTGTTATTAACTGGTTCTTTCTAGTGAATCATAAACAATACAGTACAACCAGTGTAGTCGGATATACAAACAAATAACCCTTTCGATCAGGTCCTTTTAATGAATTCTTCTAAAATACAAAAACAAGAATTACTCTGATTCAGTCTGGTGATTTAGTGACACAGTGGTACTTGATGGAGTATTTTAAAATAAAAGAATCAGAATTGAATAGAACAGGTTCAATGTGTATCAATTCCATCAGCTCTTGTGGGAAAGGGCACAAAATAATCATAAAATAAACTAAAAAAGTGACTCTCAGAAAGCAAAATGATCCATATAAACTTGTATTGTGCGGTTTGAACGTCCACTCACATCCACTGGCAGAAGTATCCGTGTTGGGAGATGAAGCTCTCGTCCGTTAGGGGGACATTACTGTACACCGCTGAGCCCCAGGGCATGTAGGGTAAAACACTAAACAGATTCTTCAGCTCTGCGGGAGACAGGGCTGAATCCTTATCCTGCAGGAGGAGACACAATCATAAGCCCAATGAAGTTCATTAGAGGATCAAATCCATCATCATCATCATCATGGCTTACCTCATCATACTTATCAAAGAGCTTCTGGAGGAACTGGTGACCCAGATGATTCAGCTCCGTCGTACAGCCCACCGACACTCGCAGTCTGTGAACACACACATAAAGGTCAATTAAATACTGATTTTCGTTCATGCAATCACATGCTTTCATATGCACAGACGTACGGTGGGTAGAGGTAGTCATCCGTCAACTCAAGCGTGTCATCGTAGCCGAATTTACGCAGGATGGTCCAGGTGGTCTCATGACGTCCCCTCTGGATAAAGAGAGTGTTCAAGAACAGGAAACCTACGGAAAACACACAAAAGCACGAGTGTGTCAATTATAATTAAGATACACGAGAGAGTGTGCATAATATGTTTGATACATGTGATGTGTGTTACCGTTGAGTGTGAGTCCGTTGTCCTGGACTCCTTCACTGGTGTTCTTCCACACGACTGTTTTCACGTCCTCCAGAGCCTGAGGAGCCAGCGGATTCCCGAAACACAATTTCTACACACACACACATTGGGTTTCCATGTTTTATGGGGACTTTCTATAGACAATGATTTTTTTATACTGTACAAACTGCATATTCTGTTACCCTAAACCTACCCATCAAAAAAACTTTCTGAATTTTTTACATTTTCAAAAAACATCATTTTGTATGATTTAAGCTGTTTTCCTTCATGGTGACCAAAAAATTTCCCTACAAGGTAAAAAATGACTGGTATTATTTGCCTTGTGGAGACATTTGGGCCATATAACATAGGGTTTACCAGGGACGAACACACACACACACACACACACACACACACACTGCCATACAAATATACTGTTAATATCACTGTTGTTATTGTTAACTAAAACGATTCAAAAAAAAAAATCGTTAATTGAAATAAAGCTGAAATAAATAAAAGCAAAATATTAGATGAAAAATAAAACTTTCAAAACGTAAACAAAAATGCAAACTGTTGCCTTAGCAGTTAAATGAAATAAAAATATTAAGCTGAAGTACTAAATTTACTAAAAAAAAAAATGTGAAAAATGAAAGCTAAATAGACCATTTAAAAAGAAATGAATAAAAATGAAAAAAGCACATAACAAAATGACTAAAACGTAAACAATTTAGAAGGACAGCTTAGAAATGTCAACATTTTTCATAATACTTCATGTAACTGTAATAACTTTGTGTACCTTTTAAACAAGTTTTCTGCTGACTGATAGGCGAGGGAAAAAACGTTTAGTAAACTTCACATGTTTGATTCAGGATATAAAGTCCTGCCTTACATTATTCTCTGCTGTTTAACTGGCCACATTTCAAAAGTGGAACGTGTTGTGATTGTTGTTTCGTGTTTGTTAGCTCACCTGAAAGCAGTTGAGCTCGGCGTCACTGAGTATGTGATCATTATCCTGATCAGAGATGCTGAAGATTCGACTCAGAGCTCGAACACACTGCGGCTTCAGCTGCACAAACACACACGAACATTCAGAATGCCACATGTACTCGCAGGGAGAGAGGTAGTAGTGTGTGTGTGTGTGTGTGCGCACCTGTTTGTCTTCGGGGTCGTAGAGCGGAGCAGTCGGGTGTAGAACGGCCTTCTGGGCGTAATAGAACAGCTCAGAAATATTCTTTAGATTCTTAGCTGAGCACTGCGGACACAAATACATCAACATGTAATCATGTACAGTATTCTTGGCCAGCCAGGCTAAAAGGCTGCCATCTAAGCAGACAGCTCACTAGGTTTTAGTCACAATGACATCAAAATTGACATTTTTTATGGTATATTGTGCATTTATTACAAATGATTTATTCAAGCACATCATTATTTTTTTAATTCATGTGCCCTTGTAATTTATAATCAACATCTCTTCTCTTCTCTGATGATGTGTTTACTGGTGATGAGGGCAGGGCAACCTGTCACTCACATCAGATCCACCAATAGCAAACCACAACCATCCAATCAATTCCCCACGGACAAAATCAAGCCCCGCCCACATTTGTTCTTGTTCCAGAAGCCGTTTCACATAGCCTGGGAAAACCCAGACAACTTCCGGCAAATTTAGATTTGCTCTGAAAGTTAGTCTGGCAAAGAGCTAATTCAAGCCCATTTCCAATTCGCCGAAATCGAGGCACCAATCAGAAACGTTGGGTCGGGCTTTATACGATGGACAGCGCTGGGATTTTGAAGCAGATTTTGTAGCCTACATTACAGAGATGGATGCCGCCGTCGAACATCACTCGTTCCAATCAGCTATCGCCTCTGTTTTAAGCGATTTGAACGTTTCCCTTTTGTTAAAAACCGAGCAAAGAACAACACTCGGAGATGTTTCTCCGCCGCTCTGCATACGTCATCTCCTTCATCGCTCTGATTGGGTTTAGGTCTATCCGCGACGTCCGTTGGTGACGCCCCTCTGGAAATGATTTGTCTATGACGCTTTGCCAGATCATAACTCAGTTACAACTGAGAATGGTCTGGTTTTAACCAGGCTACGTTTCACACGGATATACGGGGAAAAAAGACTATCGCAACAAATTGCAATAAAAATCAATGGTATATTATTTCAATAAATATGTTTAGCAAAATAAATTATTAATTAAATACTATTGAATTATGATATTTATATAAATTATGTTTTGGATTGTGAATTTTATTATGAATATAAAATTATAGATAAATCATATGAATATAATTGTATATGATTTTATATATTGTATTTAATTTTATATACATGCTACTAAAATTGTTAAAACTAAAATAAAAATAAATTCAAGATAAATAATAATAAATAAAAAAATCTAAAAACCCCCAAACAAAACAAACTAATAAAAACGACACTTTAAATCCTAGAAAGTCTAACAAGTCACACAGAGTTGAATGAAGGAGTGTGGTTGCATATGCTAATCTATACACTATGCTGCAGATTATATAGTTTAAGAGTGTTGGAATAGGATTTTGATGCATTAACTCGCTGGTAAAGCCACAGCTACGGCAATCCAGCGGGTCATGTCACGGAAAACAAGGGTTTCTTGCTCTTTTGAGTAGATACAGTTTAATGTATGCAAACCATAACATTCCCAAAACAAAACGCCCTCTCCGGTCGCCCAGTAAACTCTAAAAATGACTTGTTCAGAAATGTTTTGTGAAACAACATTCTGAAGAACAAGCCAGAACACGAGGTCAGCCAATCACAGCAGCAAACAGAGCTTTGTTTAACTCTCAGCATCAGAGAGAGGTCATCATGGAAAACTTAACTATGACTTTCTAATGCAGGAAACATTGACCAATTTCTTAAGATGACTTCAGGGGAAAACTAAACTAGAATAAGTGTGATAAACAACCCCTTTCACACACTCATGTGTGTGTCTATAGGAGATATGTGATTCATTTGAGTTTGAGTCAGTGGTTCAAACCTCTACACAGGTCTCAATCTCCGAAAACTGGTTCATGATTGGCAGGATGGTTTCCATGGAGCTGCCGGAGCGCAAGTCAGACTTGTTGCCCACGAGGATGATGGGAATCCTACAGCAAAAAAAAAGTGACATTTTTCAAGGAAAGTCAAAAAAAAAAAAACGTAGGTGCATTTATATGGGCATCAGAGACATACTTGCTTCCTTTCTCAGCGCCTCCATTGACCAGCGGAATCCATTTAGTCCTGATCTGAGAGAAAAGACGACGATAAAATCAGTTCAGAGGAAATAAAAGACAAAAATATAGTGATAATGTTAAAGGACACCATGAGAAATCCAATACCATGTCAATGGTTTCCTCTTGTGTGACATCATAAACCACACACACGACATTGGCCTACAAATGAGAAATCAATCATCTTCATACAGTCAACAGTCATACATACACACTACTGGTCATAAGTTTGGAATAAGTCATTTTTAATGATTTTTAACATTTTAATGATCAGAAACATTTCTTGTCAATATTGAAAACAGTTGTGCTGCTGCATATTTTTGTGGAAACCATCATTCACTTCCACTCAAACGTTTGGAGTAATAAAGAAATTAATACTTTTATTCAGCAATAATGAATTAAATTGATCAGAAGTAACAGTTAAGACGTTTATAATGTTACAAAAGATTTTTTTTTTAAATGCTGTTTTTTCAAACAAAAGAATCCTGAAAAAAAAAAGAAAAACGGTTTTCACAAAAATATTAAGCAGCAAAGAACCATTGTTAAGAATTAAGTACCAATAATAACCAGCATATTAGAATTATTTCTGAAGGATCATGTGACACTGAATGATGCTGAAAATTCAGCTTTGATAACAGAAAAAAATTAGTTCAAAATAATATAATTAGGACACGTCTTACCTTTACAATTTCCTCCCTCAACACTTCATCAGACTGTTCACTTTCTGAAGAGAGACACTGAGTGTTAAACAAATGCTAAAGAGCAAATATTTCATGTCATCTAATGTAATCACACACACACACACACCCGAGTAGTCGACTATATGTGTGGGCACTTTCTCAGGCGTGACGTCAGCAGGTATGGTGATCTCCTCCGCCCGGAGAGGAACCTGACGGCACAAACAAGTGAGCTTCATCTTACAGCACCAGTCCAGTCCAACACACTACCAGAGAGGCTCATGGGTAAACTCACCTGCTCAGGAAACTCCTCTCCGACCAGAGACATGATGAGAGAGGTCTTGCCCACTTTGGCTAGTGGATGACAAAGAATAGAATAATAGTTATTCCCAATAAATGCATTCCCGCCGGCTCATTCAATCTAGATTTGTGAAACGTCACATGATCAACAGCTGCACCAATCAGTGAGGCGTTAGTTTGATTTCCAGGTTTATTCTTATGTTTCCACTCCTTCATCAGCGCTGAACCTCAGTACGACATGTTTTGGGTTAGAATTGTAGCCAAACTTTTATAAATGTTGCTCTTAACAAGCACACTTCAAAATAACTGGTCCCTCCTACAGGTGTTGTTCACCTTGAGCTTATAAGGTCAGATAAGAGATAATACTAATAAGGACTCGACTTGAGCCCATTAATATAACACTAATGCTGAAACAAAGCATGTGTGTGCTGCCAAACAAATGACACTTATATATAGTCATGAACGCACAGGACCGTTGGTCGAGCGTGTGGATTACAGGTAATAATAATGTTGTAAATAATGTTTCGTTTCGCTTCATAAGACATCAGGAGCCACAGGTATTCTTTTTGTTTTGCCTGTATATGTTTTTTGACACTCAAAGTGACTGTAGCCATTGACTTCGGTTTCAGATAAAATCCTCTTCACTCTTCTACTGAAGAAAAAAGACATTACATCTTAGTTGGCCTGAGGGAGAGCAAATTAGCAGCTCGTTTTTTATTTTTGGGTGAATTATCCCTCTTTAATATTTTTGTAGAAACTGTGATACACTACCGTTCAAAAGCTTGGGGTAACAAACAAATATTTTTTCAGCAAGGACACATTAAATTGATCAGAGACAGTAAACGTTTTTTTATGTTTAACAATAGGGGTGTAACAATATATCGTGCCACAATATATCGCAATACAAAAATGCAACAATACGTATCGTTAATAGTGACAATATGTATCGTGGATCGTTCCCCCAAAATAAAAATGACTGTGTGAGAAAAAAAAAAGAAAAAAAATTCAGAGTTTTAGTGTTTTAGTACTACATTAAACTACTATACAAAATGTTGATTATAATGTATAATAATGCAATGGGGGAATATTTGTGTGTCCTGATAATGCCAAATGTCTTTTGTTACCAGTAAAAAGTGTCCTACATTATTTTAAATATATCTAGTCAGTGACAGAGTGCAAGCATATTCGTCTAAAATAATTCTGTATTTTCAGCTTCAGAATCATTAATATTTTTATTCTGGTGTCACTCACTATTGTCCTTGGGTTACAAGCACCAAGTCCAAACCTATTCATTTAAACCCACAATGTAATATCAAAGTTAGCATTTTAATCAACAGTACTTTTTTTGTTAACCTTTTATCATATGTCTTGGAGTATCGCAATAATATCGTATCGTGAGTTCAGTATCGTGATATGTATCGAATCGTGACATGAGGGTATCGTTACACCCATATTTAACAATGATTTCTATTTGAAATAAAGGTTCTTATAAACTTTCTATACATCAAATAATCCTGAAAAATGTATCATGGTTTCGGCAAAAATATCAAGTAGCAAAAACTGTTTTCAGCATTGATAATAATAATCAGAATGTTTCAAATCATAACATTTCATTTCAAAGCATATTGGAATGATTTCTGAAGGATCATGTGACACTGAAGACTGGAGTAATGAAAGACTTTGATTTATTTGTACTGTATTTCTGATCAAATAGAAGAGACTTTTAAAACACCACCAGGTAGTGTACATCCTCAGCATTATCATCAGGCTGAAGTCTATAATGAATACGTGCATTGTGTCACAGCAGCAGGAAGATCTGTTTACTCTTCACTCTTCACGAGGCACACACTCACACACTCCACACCTTGATCGTTACCATGTCAATACTATTATCAAACACTCACCGAAAAATTAATGAGCAGATTCAATCATTCTAATATAACCAAGAGGTTGGAGAAATAAAATAAATTATGAAGTCAATCTGTCAAAATGAGCATAACTACTCAAAACAATCAATGAGTTTTTAAATATAAATGTAAATATCTATTAAATAAAACATGTATGCGGGTGTTTAATTAATCAATATAACGTTATAGTGTCTAATTCAACTTCTAGAGTTTGACTAAATTGTAATTGGCCTGTAATCTGTGTGAAGAACTTGCTCGCTTGTTAATAAAGTTCATTTTCTTGTGTTTTGATTTTACACGCTTGCAAACAACAAAGCACTAAATGGACCGATAGTTGAAGAGTGCAGTGTGTTTACTTCAGATCATTCCTGCAGCAGCTCAAGGTTGAGGGTTAGCGCTCTCTAATCATGCTAACTTTCATTAAACTGTCACATTTATTTCCCTTGACAATTAATAGACAAAATCACATCTTACGTTCCCCCAACAGCAGTATCCGGACATCGCGTTTCATTTCACTCCACTCTCTATTGAACTCTGCGAAAAGCTGCGTCTATCTTTTCCAAAAACTTCAAATTCAATTCAAAGCTCAGTGCTAGTTTCTACTAGCCCCATTCCAGTCAAAGAAACTGGCAGCGCTAGGGACTTCCGGTTGGAGCCCAAATGGAGCGCCCTCTACTGTGCACTTACTTAACGTACTATTACTTCTTCAACTTAATATTACTTCGATTTACTTCAACTTATTTAATATCATTATTTATTTTCTATATTTGTGTGTCAATATTAAACAATTATGCCTTATAATATTATTTAATTATATTATATTAATTGAGCTTTGCTGAATTTTTGCTTGGATATATTAGCCTGTATTGGTAATAACATATGGACAAATATTTTACAGTTCCATTAAAAGCATTAATCATTCATATGATACTACATTATATTAAAAATGTTTTATATAATGTTTTATATAAAAGGTTTTTTCAAATAAACAAAATGATAAAAAAAACAAGCTTTATTATATTATTTGAATTTACATGAGCCAAATGTTTGTTAAGGACATTAATGAAAGTTATTTTGTAAGTGTAAAAATAAGGCTCTGTTTACTGTAACTGTGTGTCAATGGCTTTATTTAATGCAGACAAGAGTACTTCAGATTTTCTATGAATTTTATTTATCAAAGTGCATGACAATTTCAGGGTATTTCTTACTAGCAAAATAATTTTAAACAGTGTAAAAAGTATTAGTAAAGTACAATGCATTCAAAAAATATTAAAACAAATTAAAAGACTACAAAAACTGTTAATTAATAAAAGTTCAACTCATGCCTAACTGGATACAAAACATGGCAGAACTGCTCTGCTGCATCAATGCAACATTTCTACTGAACAAAAAAAGTCAAATCTGAAAATCGGAGTACCTACTGCAATCCAAAACATCCGACAGGCATCCGACAGTAGCATTAGTGTTCTCCTAACATTATAAGCCGTGTACAGCCCACAGTAAGAGCTCATTATGAGCAGCAGTGAAGAGCTGAGATCCAGACCAGCTGAAGCCGCACACGTGAACCGAGTCACTGTGAGACGGGAAATCCTGAAAACGCCCGCTGGAGGAATGAATCAGCTTCAGGACGCGCTCTGAAACACAAGGCATCACTGTTAGATGACCGTATACCTCTCTAAGACCTTGTTGTAAGTAAAACGGCACGGGCACACTGACGGTGTGATCCAACAGCGAGCAGCCTTCCAGTCGAACACAGACTGAGACACAGTGCCCAATCGGCCAGAGAGATCGTCCTCAAAACCTAGAAAACAAAACACCACTGCATCATTATCTCACAATCTCTCAGGAGGATTTCAATTGGTCAATGAAATTGTGTGGAGAGACAACTGAGGTATACGCTCATGGTTATAAAGGTGTGTGTGTGTATAAATGTGTTGTTTTATGTCAGTCCATCAATACCTGTTTTTTGTAAAGACAGTAAAAGATGATCTCTTTTTCCACAGCGTAGCCGGTGTAAACCACCACTCCCCTCTCACTGGGGCTGAACGCTGCCAGACTGGGAGGTAATGCAAGTACATCCTGATTTAAAGGACAAAGTTGGAGACAAACGTTACTTCTTTAGACTTTTCAACTACAATAGGAACCTTTGAATGATCAGAGTAGCGCAATAAGACAAAGTGTAACTGTTCATAACATAGGAACACGGTCAGGGCATATTTATTGGCTTGTGAATATTCAGTGTGTCAATCACCTCTGGTGGGGTGGGTGCTGGGAATGTCAGCCAATCAAGCAGCTCGCATTTATCCTTCGTCCAATCAGCAGCCCAGATGCTGACACGCCTGTCTGAGCTCACGGCCAACCAGAGCTCATTTCCTTCCAGACCAAACTCCTTATACTAGAAGACATTTATATCAGCGCGCGCACACACACACACACACACACACACACACACACACACACACACACACTAGTTAAATCACTCAGAAGTAGAGCTGCACGATTTGGGTAAAAAATACAATTGTGATTTTTCTGATAAAAAATTATGATTGTAATTTAAAATGTGATTTTAAAAAAGCTACAAAATTGCTTGGCTTGTTTGTAGGGCTGCACAATTTAGCCCAAAATGTTGTGATTACATATTAATATGACTATAATAATAATAATAATTATTATTATTATTAAAATAATAATAGTATCAATAATAATACAAAAAATAAATTATGATTATTGTTATTATATATGAATATTATATACATTATAGTTACATTTATTTTATTTAATAAAAATAATTAGAAATTATTGTTATTGTTATAATAATAATAATTATTATCATTATTATTACAATAACAATAAATTGACCTATTTTGACATTGACATAAATAAATAACAAATAAATAACATTCTTTTTATTCAGAAAATATTAAACAAAACAAGAAATTTTACTATTGTAATATTTCACAGTAAAATAAAAAACTAGTATTTAAAAATAATACTATAATAATAATAATAATAATAATAATATAATTATTATTTTATTTTTCAGTACAACTGTACAAAACATATTTATGGCTGTTTTCATTTCTTCCTGTTCAAACATTATACCACTTCGAGCTGCTCGCGTGTAAAAGAACACAGTACCGCACTTCACTTGAAACACACAGAACAGATATTTATTTGATTAAATCACAGCCTTTGCAATTAGATAATCGTGCTAAGCCACTATGTATTTGGACACTTAAGTAACACTTAATTGTAACAATGTCATTGGATATATGTATCTTTGTGTCTCAAATGCTGCAGGATCTTTTCTCTTCGCTAATGTTCACTTTTCTTCTTCACGTATGAGGTCTTAATGTCTTTGAATAAAATTCATGCATTTCTTTTTTGTGTGACTTAAGTCCCCCAAATACCTTTTGGGTATGGCTCACAATTCCATATCATAATGTTGAGTCATTTGCCTTACAAAAGAAAACCAAGGACACGCATACATGCACAAACCTGTTTGCTGGTGCACTGCACTGTCGTTATGGGCGCCCCCTTGTGGTCACTGATGGTGCGTACAGTGACTCCAGTGGCAGGACTACTGACGGTGATGAGACCATCACGACCAGCAGACAACAGCACATGCCCTACACACACACACACACATACACACACACACATGCATATAGTGAACATAAACACACAAACGATCAGACACTGGACACTGAGTCTAACACACACACTCTCTCACCGTAGTGCGAGTACTGCAGCGCACACACAGACACAGGCTGAGGTTGTAGTTTCAGCACCATTTCGGCCGACTCCAGAGAGAAGATCCTCACAGTACCATCACTGTAACCGCCCGCAACACACGTGTGGCCGCTCGCCTCATACACCCCCCTCGGAGGAGTCCAACACACACACTCACAGCTCTGCAATACAGAGAAATCACCACATTCAAACACAATTAAACAATAACTGCAATAAAAAAGCAGAGAACTTGTTTGACAGGAGATAAGAGAAAGATCATTAGCAGTGTTTTTAAAAGAAGTCTCTTCTGCTCACCAAGGCTACATTTATTTGATCAAAAATACAGTAAAATCAATAATATTGTGAGATCATATTACAATTTAAAATAACTGTTTTCTACTTTAACATTTTTTTATATCCTGTGATCAAAGCTGAATTTTCAGCATTACTCCAGTCTTCAGTGTCACATGATCCTTCAGAAATCACTCTAATATGATGATTTGATGCTCAAGAAACATTTCTGATTATTATCAATGATTATTATACATTTTTTCTAGAAATCATGATACATTTTTTCAGGATTCTTTGATGAATAGAAAGTTCAAAAGAACAGCATTTTTTTTAAATAGAAATCTTTTGTAACATTATAAATGTCTTTACTGACACTTTTGATCAATTGAAGGCATCCTGGCTGAATACAAGTATAAAAATGTTTGTACTGACCCCAAACTTTCGAACAGTACTATACATCAAAGTAGAAGGTTATGAGGCCACTTATGCAAATTTTGGATTATCGCATTAAAAACGCAGGATGGAAACACCAAAATGTGAATAAAATTTGCATTAAAATCTTATTTGAGGTGGATATATTATTCAGTACAAAGTCATGCACAAAAGTAGGTTGGAAAGCCTTTAAAAAAAATCTAGGATAGTGATTGGCTACTATGAAGAACTGTTGTCGTCCCAGACACAAGGCATCTGCAGCACCAAACAAAGTCCGTCAGAGTGTTTTGTGAACTGATTTTAAAGTGTGGCGTCCTGCACACATATAGCAGTGTGTTATCAGTGTGTTTCTCCTCACCTGGTTCAGCACCTGAAACTGCACCAGCAGCTCGTGGCTCTGCAGGGCCCAAACTCTCACACTGCCGTCCTGCCCACACGTCACGAAATGCTTCTCATCCGGACTACAAACCACTCCGTTCACCTGGGGGAGTTTGAGTAGAAGTTGCTGCTTTTAGTCTTCTAATCTGCGTCTAATCCGATTGGTAGGGATAAAAAGTACCTTGCTTTTATGCCCGCTGATCAGACGTATACTGGTGCTGTCGGCCCAGTTGATATACCACAGGGTTCCCGCTGTCGTTCCCACAATCCCCATGTCCATGGCATTGTCAAACGCCGCACTGACCACTGTCCCATCCAACAGCAGTTCTTGTTCCAGCTGCACCTGAGCTCTGCCGGGTTCAAAACAAGTGAAGTTCTTTATAATTATTTTTTAAAAAGTGAAAGTGACATTTTTTCTATGGTAATTAGAACAAAATATGTAACAAAATGTATTTCTCATAATCACGAGTCATGACTATATTTCACAATGTGACACTATTTTGACTTTAATTTTTTGCGTTGCAACTTTATTTCACATGATTGAGATATTAAATCTTACAATTTTTGTACTTTTTTTACTTTTTGTAATTGTTCACCTCACAATTACATTTAGATTTTTTTCTACTGAGGTGGAAATTACCATTTAAATGTTTGGGGTCAGTAAGATAAAAAAAAAAAAATAAAAAAAAAATTAATAGTTTTAAATTTAATTTTAACATGTATTCAAATAGAAAACAGCAATATTGTGAAATATTATTACAAGTTAAAATAACTATTTTATACCGAATAAATACAGCCTTGATGAATCTTAATTTAAAACCATTATTATTATTTTATTTTTTTAATCTTACCGACCCCAAACCAAACAGAAGTGTGTATATACCGAGAGAACCTAAAGCATTGTTGAAGGAGATAAAGTGAGTGTTTGCATGTTTACCCATCATCCTGTCCTGCGCTGCTCTTGTTATTTGGGCTCCTGAGATTCTGGACTGAAGCTACAGACCACAGTCTCAATTTTTTGGTGTTACTCCCCGTGACCAGCTTATTCCCACGGCAAACTACCACACCTACACAAATGCACACAAAAACACTTATTTATGATCACTTCCCGTTTCCCAACGACCCAAATGTGATAAACATTTCTCACACACACCTATCTCTCCACCATCTGCTTCCCAGGTCACAAAGCAGCGCTGTGTGTTACAGTCCCACACACACACGTGGCCGGTGTTTGTGCCCGTGTACAAGATATGGTGCGTGTTATAGCACAGTGATGTCACCTCTGCCTGCCCTACTGCATCTGGTAAACCCACTTTCTGCACCTTCAGGAGGAGGAAAGCATATTTACCAACTTACTTCTTTGCAACGGTGTATGCATGTGTGTATGCAGAAGGATTCTTTTCATGCATACAGTGCCAGTACATACCTGAAGTTCAGTGGCGTTATCGCGTGTTTGAATGCGAGTAAAAACGACAGCACTGCTGCCTACGAGCGTCAGCTCATTAGCAGTGAACGGGCAGAAAGAAGCATCATGCAGCGGGACGTGTATCTGAACGTTACAGAGCAGCTCAAATGATCGAGTGCTCCACAGCGCCACCACCGGCTCCGAGAAATCACCTAAGAGCATATTAAACCACATCATACAAATGATACAAATACAAATGATTCATCATAAAGAGAAGATTTATAATATGTCTGAAGAAAGTCAATTGATTTGCAAGGAATAAAATGTGGTTCTAGATTTTCGTTTTATTTGAAACTTTTCAGACATGTTTTTCCTTTCTAAAATTCCTTTCAAATGAATTTACAATTTATCTTAATTTTAATGTTATAAATAAATAACGCAACTACGGTAACCAGGATTTGTTTTGTCCCAGTAGATAATATGCTGTTGACTGTTACTAAGGACTTCCAATGTAAGTGCAAAATGGGCATAATATTTGTTTGTTACAGCATAATAATGTATTTAACAGGGCTTAACATTTCACTTGCATTTGAGGCTAAAAATAGATGTGTGAAAACTGTCAGATATATTTAGAAGCATGTGTGTGAATAAAAAGTAGGTCCCCTGGGTCCTTAGAAAGTCATGTGTTCAGATGTTTATTCTTTCCAAAATTAAAAAGACTTAAACATCTTGAATGGTTTAACAGAAGTCTTTATTATAATTTTAAGAGGTCTTAAATTTGGGGTCGGAAAAGAGATTTCAATGAATAATCAATGAAATAATTATCAATCAATGAATAGCGCATATTTATACCAAGCGATTGCTTAATATTTTTGACAATGTTTATGGTGTTTATACCGTAATACGTTTTAGATGGTGCACATAAGAATGCATATTTTATGCAAAAACATTTTTTCTGGTTATTATTGCTATTTTAGTTACACAATAAACTGTATCTGCACTTCTCCATTTTTGAAATTAGGAGCACATGTGCTGAGTGGGAAAAACATGACCCCATAATGAAAAATAATATGAAACACTGACCCACTGAGAGGAGGTACATGTCATCCCTGGAAAACGTAAGCCTCTGCACTGCCCCCTTGTGATAGGAGAGGCGGTTTCTACAGGAACCGTCTGAAACACTCCATATGCAGATTAGGCTGCTGTGTGAAGCTCCGCCCCCTGATGCAGATGCAACCGTCTGCCGAGCAAATTAGACACCGAGGTTTCACTCTGAGGCTCCTAATGTTTGCTAACAATAAAGCATCACCAACTGGTGGAAACAGAGGAAGAGTGTGTGATTTATACATTTGTAGTAAATACTAAATCATGCCTGTGTGGTACCTGTGCATCATGGGTAACAGCAAGCGTTGAGATCTCCTCTGTGTGACCGAACCACTGTCTCTGTGAGCCTGTGTGAAGATCCTCAACGACGACGACACACCCACAAGAGTACACAAATAAACCTGCAAACACACACAAGAAGATGTAGCTAAATAACAGTTGTGTACACATACATGCTGAGAAAGGACACACAAAACGTGCACATGCATTTTATGTGATGGACATCATGAAAGAGTTTATACTTAGATACTTAGTATTTACCTGTGTCTGGATTCCAGACCATATTGTTACGACCGTTGCCATTATAGCCAATCACAGCCTTTAGACTCAGGCCCGCCTGTCCTGAGGGCGGAGCTACTACGGTCTAAAAAGTGAATGATTGTTGTGGAGAAGAGGACACAGTATACAAAAGAGTTTGAATTGTGTTCTGGTTTAAATGTTAATAATGCACAATTCACTTTTGAGATTGACATATTAATGAATAATTCATCACAAATATACACCTGATCTAGCACAGTAGTCTTAAAGCGTGGAGTGAAGTGTTTATAACAGTCTGGACGGATTGCCGTGTGACCATCTCGTATTTTCTCCGTCCTTGATTGGTTGGCTGGGATAGTGGGCGTGTCCTCATTCGTCACCCATTCGGTCACTCTCAGGAAGGAGGTGTGTTTAGGGGAGTGTGTGTGTCCTGCTGTGGGACTGAGCTGCAGTTCAGCTGTAGAATCGCACAGGAAACCTAGAGGAGAAAGTGTCCGAGATTAAATATTGACACATGAATGAGGTCAAATGCTCATGAACACATACCTCTACTGTCCTTCATAGCAGACAGTGAAGAAGGCTGAAATAATGCCTCTCGAGGACTCTCATTGGACAGCTCAGCTCCACTTAGCTCCACCCAACTGTGAGCTGAACAAGAGGATCATCATACATGGTGTATGATGTATAAGAAAATAATTTATGCTTATGGTTATTCTTTTATGGTTGTTTCCATGAGTCATTCTTTCAAACATATTATTCTTGTATTAATCCATTTATCCTTTTTGTCTATTGTATATTTTAATATCATATACTCATATTTACATGTTCTATTGAGACCAGACATTTAGTTCACCTCTACTCTGAAAAAGTACATGTTTATATTTTGTGGCTGCTTCTCCAAAAAGCTGAGACATGCCAATTTATTTCCGTCTTCTGCAAAGTGTGTTATACGTCTAATATTACATTTCTTAGAATTAAGGTACAGCTGTATTTGCATTGGGTTAGACATGCCACATTTTTTTGTCTCTTTCTGCTGCTGAGGTGATTAAACCACAATGCTCTGCCTCATTTCTGCATACTTGATACCAAGAGACTAAAGCTGAGTCTTAGAATAGATGTTTTTGACCTTAAACTATGTATAAATGCTTGGAGAGTTCCTACATCTCTAGCTCACTCTTGCTCTTGCGTCTCGCTCGTAGGGCCCTTCGTCTGCTCTTTTACTCTTCTGGCAACATTATTTATAGGTTTTTGGTTAAAGACTTGTTTATTGTTAGGGTTGTGTTTACACGCTACTCGCGAAATGCTGTCATTGCCACTATAACGATTTTCTTTAGTCTTAGCGGGCAGAATTATGAGGTTGACAACACAGGCTTTTGTGACTGACACTACCACAGGTTCATCCATTTCATCATACTCCTCCAACAATTAGTGTTTAGTTAAAAATCTCTTTAAACAGGATAAAAACTTGCAGCTCAACAATTGAAAGCTGGCTCATACGCACACCATCATTCATCTTGAAATCATATGATTCCGTTTGCATCTTCTGATTGGTTCTGTGAACAGAGGCTTTTGCTGGCAAAAGGGAAGTGCCGTTTATTTAAGAATGGCCGGAGGCTGGGATTTAGCGGATTTGAAGCAAAAGTATTTGATTAACGTATGCGGAGAGCATTCGCTCAATATCATCATCTAATTTTTGACGGAGGTGGCATTTAGCAGCTTTTGCATCTTCTGTCTAAACATATTGAAATATAAAAATAACATCAAATATAATCTATTAAAATTTTTTAGCAAAATTGCAAAGAAAAAAATGGTTAAGAATGTTAAAAATAAATGCTTCAGGATCAATTACAGGAGTAAATTAACGAAAACAAAACAGTAAAGACATTTTTTAATGTGCTTTATTGTTAAAATGCAAAATAATTTTTAAGGTCATATAAACAGGCTTTATTTTCTTTATGCAAATGATCATATTCATTTTTATTAATTTGTTTTCGGGTGATTTGTAAGATTGACCTAAAAATTCATAATCTTCCAATAACAAGAGACAAAGTTAATATTTAGCTTCTCGTACCTGATTTATGAGGGGAGGCCTCTATAGCTAGAGACCTGGTTGGAAAAGAGAAAGATTTCAACAATTTTAAAAAATCCTAGTTACTAACAAATAACTAAAAAGGAGATTAAAACCATGTACAGTATTATGGAAAATGCAGGTCTTACCTGCAGTGTGAAATCTCTCGTGGGGGTGCCAGGAAGTCCCAGAAGAAGAGGGCGTCGCCTACGGTGACCACGCCCATCTGATCAGGCGTGAACCTCACCTGTCTGATGGGCTCAGAGTGACCGATGAACACCTGAAGGAGAAACAAACACATTCTTGATCTCATTATGTCCTCTGCGCACCATCAAATCCAGTGTTCAAACAAACATACCTGTGAATTGACATCCAGGTGCATGTCATAGTCCCACACCTTCAGAGAGTTCTGACCGGCCGTCAGCAAATAACGGCCATCTTCACTGACAGCCAGAGACACACACTGATGCTTATGCACCTCAGACACCTGTAATTACATTAATAATCATTCCAATACGTGATACTTAATGTTCTCAGAAAGTATTCGCCTTTAGTCTTTTACCTGTCTTAGAAGTTGTCCTGTGTGTGTGTCAATCCAGAGGATCTTATTGGCTGAGGTGGTGACGAGCAGGTGTGACAGTGACGTGGGTGAGAAACACACATTCAGGGCAGAGTCCAGCGTTGAGCTCTCAACATCCAGAATGCTCACATCAACCCGAAGTAGCTGACACACACCGAAACAAATGTTATTTAGCATGTACAGCATTTCATACTGTTGTAATTGTTAACAAGCTATTAAGAATGGGGTCACACTTTCGTTTAGGGTCCAATTCTCACTATTACCTAACTATTAACTACGACTTTTGCCTCAATAAACTCCAAATTACTACTTATTAATAGTTAGTAAGGTAGTTGTTAAGTTTAGGTATTGGCTAGGATTAGGAATGTAGAATATGGTCATGCAGAATAAGGCATTAATATGTGCTTTATAAAGTACCGTAAAACTTCAAATAGTAGCCCGGGCTTGTATTTACCCAAATCGTCGAACTGCACCGGCTTGTATTTGAGACAGGCGTCTATATGAGACAGGCCTTTATAATTTAGTGTTGAGATGTTGTTCATTGAGTGTATAGGCCTGTCTCTAATCTCTAAAAATCTCCAAATGCTCCACGTGAAACTGCGGTCTTCCGACCTTTTACTATCGCGTCAATTGATTTTGATTAATATGCGCGAGGGAGAGAGAGCAAGACAGCGCTCGTGTTGTTTGAAGACGTGAGAGTGCGCGCGCGCGGCCGGGGCGCTCTCTCTCTCTCTCTCTGCTCGTAACGCATCCTGTCAAGCGCAGCAGTAATTCTATTCTACATCACTCATCGATCAAAAAAAGGCTTTGGAGGGACAAAAATGTGCTTTGGCGGCGGCCAAAAAGCGGGCGATCTGGCGGTTTTAGAGGATTAAATACAACCCGAAACTAAAAAACAGACCCGGCCTCTATTTGAGACCGGCCTTTATTTACCCAAACCTGCAGCCACACCAGGCGTGTAAAAGAGACAGGCGTCTATTTGGGACTCGGCTATTATTTAAAGTTTTACGGTACTAATAAATATCCTAGTAATATGCATGTTAATAAGCAAATAGTTAATAGTGAGAATTGGACCCTAAACTAAAGTGTTACCAAGAATAGCTTCGTTGACAGAAATAAAATTAAATAAAATTAATAAAATATAAATATTAGATTCAAATTTGGAAAAATTAGGAATGTTGCAAAATGGCAATGGCAACTAACTGAAATAAATAAGTTTAAGTAATACAATTATTAAAACTTAAAAAAAAATCATGTTAAATAAAAATATCTATCCATTATATTACGAATAAAACTGACAAAAGCACATACTCATATTAAAACTAAAATTAAAATGATGACTAAAAAGCTAATTCAAAATATTAATAAATTATATAATAGTATATAAATACTAAAATAACATAAATCATTGTTTGAAATAATAAAATGAAGAAAAGAAAAACACAAAAAAGTGAGATTTTGATCATGTCCCAGATTCAACAGAGCTCAGCACAAAAATAATGATTGAAAAGTTTTTTTTAATGTATTCATTGTTATTTACTGATTTATTTTTATTTTTCTCAGACACTGTGAGAGAGGTAGGATGGGATCAAAAGTTGTGATCCAAATGCTCTTACATGTGTCAAGCAAGTATTAAATCTCAGCTCTGACAAACACTATGGTTTTGATGTACCTCATTAAGTGACTGTGCCTCCATGATTGTGACGATGTGTTCGGTCGGTCCGACCAGCGCTAGACAGCGGCTGTCAGAACTCACGGCCAAAGTCTCCGGGCCACGACTCACACCCCGTGCAACCGCATTACCTTAGACAAAATAGAAATAATTCAGAATGCTGCTTCCACATAGTCCTTTGGATATTTCAGTTCTCCTGAAAAGGATGTCTACAAATAAAAACAGAAAGCTGAGTCGTTCATCTGAATGTGCTGTGAAGGGCAACTGTCATCATACATGTGATATTGTGCTGAAAGAGCGAGCATTTACTCACCCAGAACACGGACCACATGATGGTCATTTTCAGAAGAGTTGTAAAGTACCAAGTATCCAAGAGCGCCAGCACTAAACAGACACTGACCATCAGGAGAATATATCACACTCTCAACTGATCCCATGTGTTGCCTGCCAACACACACACAAATTAAATCAATACACTTTTAAGAGGAATATGAATGTGCTTTTTGTAGTTTAAATAATAATGTTACTACAATATACACTACAGTTCAAAAGTTTGGGGTGGGTAAGTTTTTTAAAATCTTTTTGAAAGGAGTCTCTAATGCTCATTGCTCACCAAGGCTGGATTTATTTGATAAAAAATACAGAAAAAAACCCCTGTAAAATAGCGAAATATTATTACAATTTAAAATAACCATTTTCTATTTGAATCCATTTTAAATATAATTAATTCATGTGATGAAAAGCTGAATTTTCGGCATCATTACTCAAGTCTTGAGTGTTAATATTTAATATTTTTGTGTATTCTGGATTCATTGATGAATAGAAAGTACAAAAACAGCATTTATTTGAAATATGTAACATTAGAAATGTATTTTTAAAGTCTGCATCCTTGCTGAACAAAGGTTTTGCATCATCAGTAGAGATACACTACCGTTCAAAAGTTTGGGGTCGGTACGATTTTAAATACTTTTAAAAGAATTCTCTTCTGCTAACCATGGCTGCGCTTATTTGATTAAAAATACAACAAAAATCAGTTATAGTATTAAATATTATTCCAGTGTAAATCAGCTGTTTTCTGTGTGAATATATAGTAAAGTGTAATTTATTCCTGTGATCAAAGCTGAATTTTCAGCATCACCAGTGTCAGTGTCTTCAGTGTCAAATGATCCTTCACAAATCAGTATAATATGAGGATTTGATGCTCAAGAAACATTTATTATTATTATCAATGTTGAAACAGTTGTTGGTCTGTCAGTTGTACAGTTTTTTTTTTTTTAGGATTCTTTGATGAATAGGAAGTTCAAAAGAACAGCATTAGTTTGAAATAGAATCTTTTGTAACATTATAAATGTCTTTACTGTCCTTGATAAATAAAAGTATTGATTTCTTTCCTTCAAAAAATAAAAATAAAATTCTCACTGACCCCAAACTTTTGAACGGTAGTGTACATACATTACATAGAGTGCTTGTGAGGACAGATGCGTATTTGAGAGTGTGTATGTACCTGTGCTGGGCGATTAAGCTCGACGTTTGAATATCAAACACTCTGACGGTTCCAGAGCTCGATCCACAGGTGAAGAGAGGCATGCTGGGATGGAATGCAACTGAACAGGGACTTTCATCATCATCAGAGACAAAATCATAGAGCTGAAACACGAATTAGAGGCAAAGTATATTAACTTCATGGTAATATCAGCACGTCTGGTGCATGTTTATGCATGGCCAACAGCATGCTAAAGCATGTATGCTTTAATGATAAACATTCCCATAAATGACCTGTTGCATGGTGTCCATGTCCCACACTCGTACAGTGCTGTCTCTGGACACGGTGGTAACACGCCGTCTAACTCCGTCCACACTGAAGCCCAAAACACTCCCTGTGTGTGACCTCATCAATGTACGGTAACCACGGCTGCCAACATCCAGGTACCCAAGATTCCCGGCGGTTGTTGCCGCTAGAACTCTAGAGCCGTCCGAGGACACACACACCAAACTGACGGGACCCTCGTGCTCTACAAACACACCAAAAATCGTATTAATTAATTAGTTAGTTATAAGCAAGGTAATTGGTTGTGAGAGAGATTGACAGGGGAGTACTGACCCGCCTCTAAAAAAACTGATGAGAAGTCAAGAGGCCACAGACGCATGAATCCATCTTCTGAACCGGTCACACAGAACTCGGCACACACACTGATGCTGTTCACCGCAATACCGGCACCTGAAAACACATTTATAATACTGTCAATATCTTAAAACAAACAAACAAACAATAAATAAATAAACATATTTAAATAATAAATAAATAAATAAATGTAAACACATTTATAATACTGTCAATATATTCAAACAAACAATAAATAAATAATTAACAAACATATTCAAATAATAAATAAATAAATGTAAACATATTTATAATACAGTAAGTATATTATAAATAAATAAAAAATAAACGAATGTAAAGTAATATTGCTAAATGGTCTTCTAATTGTGAGTTTATAGCTGATATTTTATACATGCTGAGCATCAATAATAATTAACAATAATAATAGTTAAATTCCACCATACACCAGACTGCAAACTACATAGTTTAATTTTCGTTTTGTTTTTACTGTACCTGAAAAACTGGGATGAATTAAGAATAGCTTTAAATTCCCTGAATCAAATTCAAAATCAAATCAGAAAGTGAGGGGTCTAAAGAGACACACCCTTAGACAGAACCGAATAATATAACTTTTTTAAGGGCTTTTTTACACATACTGACGAGAACATTGGGGAGGCAGAAACAAACAGGTAGAGATGTAATGAGGAATATATGAGCCATAATCAAAAACACAAATTTTCACCTGATCTAAAGGTCTGTTTTTCTCTTTGGTGGGCGTGGCTTTCTTGAGCTGGGAGGAGCCTCCTGATGTTTTTTATCGCCACGGCAACATAGTCGATCTCCATGATGTGACCACTCCTACTGCTGACAAACCTGCTCCAATCACAATAACACTTCAGGATGAGATCAAGATAAAATTACCGAATTAAAGAGTTAGTTAGTAGAGGGTGAGTAGTTAATGAAAGAATTTTCATTTTTGGGCTGAACTAACCCTTTAATATCAGCGGGTCTGTACAACTAATTACTCTTATTTAAATAGTTTGTTGGTCATAATGTCACATTTTTCTGTGCACTCACAGTGTGCGTTCATCCACCGGTAGGTCCTGAGCGTGTCCCTGCTCAAATCCGAGGTCAGTAAACTCCAGACTGTGATACTGTCCAAGATTCACAGGACAGGAACGTAGAGAACCACCACGCACACGCCATAGTCGCACGTTACCTAAACCACACGACACCATACTGCACAAACAAACACAATATACACACCTATAATCTGCCAATATGATTAAAAACTGGGGTAGAATTGAGGTTAATAACATTAGCTAGTAACCCTGTTAATGTTATTGACCATATTGTACAACAAAATTAGCCTGGCATGCCAGACCTACATCAAGATGTTAGGTCTGGGAACTCTCCATTGACATGCCTCAATCCGAGGGGCGGGATAAACGGTTACCTTTCAAAATCCCTCTGCACGCAATAGGATAACGCTACAACCAACCAGAGCAACGAACGGTTGTAGATGAGTGAGTCCCATGCGTTTTTCCACCAGCGGAGCTAATTGATATATTAAACTTTTGCCGTATCAGGACGGCAAAAATCCGAACACATCTTCCCTTAAGAATAACTTAAGTGACGTTCTCTTAACTCCAAGTCCTCCAGAGTCGCGGCCAAAGCCGATTCGAAAGACCGCTGCATCTTCATTGTTTTCAAGTAGCAGGGAAATCACCTATGGAAATCACGCGGAACGTCATGAACTGTGCCGTCATTGTGTTAAGCCCGCCCGCCGACTCTATACACGATGTGATTGGCCTGACCAGTTTTTGGTTTTTCCAGCTCAAAAGCCTATGGAGAGTTGCTAGACCACACTGGCTGCGAAATAATTTTCGCTGCCGCTAGGGTGCGTCTAGATTTCTAGGCTACAACAAAATCCCACTCCACATTAAACCTCAAACATGTTTAGATTGGCTGTAATTACAATACAAGTGTGTATGCGCACCGTGTATCATCAAAGAACGCTATCTTCATCATCTGGATGTCCACGTCTGTGTGTGCTTTAGCTAAAACTGGAACAACACTTCCCTCTGCCGCACGCCTTGTGTTCCAAAGGATCACCGTCTAAACAAGCAAATCAAACAATTAATACAAACACTCACAATAAAAAAGTATAGTTCTTCACATCCTAAAACTCACAGTTTTGTTGTGACTGTCTTTCCCTACGCCACACAGCACTCCTCCACTCTGTGAGAAACTAAAACAACAACAACATCATCATCTAAAGGGCCTTGAGAGATCCAGCTGTGTTGTACATGCGTGTTTGGTGTACCTAAGCAGATTCAGAGCATGTGTGTGTGTAGGAATAATGGTTTGACACACTCCTCCGCTGTAGCTCCAGAGACGAATCAGACTATTTGTGCCCGTCTGAGCTGATGCCAACACCGTAGAACTGGCATTTAACGCCAGAGCCGAGACCTGACAAACAACAGGTATACATCAACAGGAAAATCAAGGCCAGCTAACCTAACTGTAGCTTAATGCAAAATGAAATGATCACTGTTATTGTAAAATAAATTCTAAATACGAATTGCATGAACCATGTTATACAATAAACGACACACACAACAACTGTGACCATCGTTTAGACTCTATACTATTGTGACAAGTTGCTACATTGCTTAGCATAATAATAACATATTTTTTAAATATTCTTTGTATATATATCTATTATTTATTTATATATTATCAATATTACTATATAATATCATGTATAAGTTTAAAGAATTTAATTTATTTTTTAAAACTATTAAGAATATTAATCATAGGTGTCTTTTATCATATTGCTATTGTAATATGACTTTCCTTCACATGCATAACACCACTAAACAATGGTAAAATCATTAGAAATCTTTAAGAGTGAGTGTGTGTGTGTGTGTGTGTGTGTGTGTGTGTGTGTGTGTGTGTGTGTGTGTGTGTGTGTGTGTGTGTGTGTGTGTGTGTGTGTGTGTGTGTGTGAAATACCTTATCTGTGTGTCCGATGAAGAATCTCTGTTGTCCGGAGGAAAGAGTCATGCTTATGATAATGGCATGACAGGGATACACAACTTCCTGCCCATCTGAGCTCCATACAGCCTGAGAGAGGGGCAATATGAAAAAAAGTCTACCATATGATATTTATGATATTAAAGCAATGCATCATGAAATCATTCTACTAAATTTGGTACGAGAATTATTTTCAAAAATATGTAGAAGACACAAATGTAAGACAAGGGAAATTTACCCTGTCCCTTGGTTTCACATTCACAGACTGAAGAACTGTGTTATAGATATGTCTGTGAACACTCGGTTATCTAGGTCATTGCAGAGTGTTCTAGTAGGTTTATTCAGGTCATAGATGTTTTTCATGTTTCTTCAGTAAAAACACATTCAGTTGACCAGAATAAATCTACTAGAACACTGGGTTATTATCAAAGTAATGAATGTGAAAAATAAGGGAAATAAACCACAAAAAAAAAAGTTATCTGCATTATTATTTCATTTTTTTCCAATAGCTGGCGTCTATTCTGTGACTTTTAGGGGAAATTTACACAATTACACACACCGTTCATTTCTGTATATGTACATGAAGGTTCCCCATTATTATTAAAATATGCTTAAATAAGATAAAAATGTCTTTATCTGCATTGTCCTTCGGTGATTCACATATTTAACGATTGTGAAATCGTTATCAATTATAATATAATCAATTATTAAAATTCTGTTCAATGCATTGAATTTTTACTGCAAGATGATGCATTGTTACATCCTAATGTGTGTGTGTGTGTGTGTGTGTGTGTGTGTGTGTGTGTGTCACTCACACATCTCATTGTAGCTCCTCCGAAGCCAATAATTCTGTTTAGCTTCAGAATGGGGTCAGGATACAACTTCTGAAATACATACAGAAACCCTCCAAATGACCATAGCACACAAACAATGCTGAAGATATTTGCACAGGCTTTATCATATTAACCTTTCTTCAGTATACATTTATGTTCTGTTAGTCTGTGTTGTCCAGGTGATAAATAAGTGTGTTTATGCATGGTTAACCTGTGGCAGCTTCACTGGTTGGTCAGAAGACAGAGAGACAGGTCGAGGACATGCTGCATTAATGATCTGAGAAGAAACATTTAGATTGGTTCATTCACATTATTTATGTTTACAAAAAGCAAATTTTAATTTAATGTTGACTCAAAGAAAGACCCAGTTTTCTTCTTCTTAGCTTGTCATTGTTGGGATTTCAACTGAGGAAGCCGATCTTGGATCTACAATACTTACTGTGATTTCCTCCTCACTGTCGGTCATGTGGGCATAGACGTCATCCTCGCAATGGGCATAAACGTGTACTCCAGCATCATCAGCACACACTACTGCGACCTCTTCACCTGCCTGCGACCTTTGACCTGGTGACCCCGGGCTCTCTGAGCCTCCAGAGGGTGTGTAAATCAGCTCAGGCAGTTGCGTTTTCTGAATCAGCGAACGCTGCTTAGTGCTCTACACAGAGAGAAAGAAGAGCAGGGGAGAAAGAAGCCATTAGGGCCTGTATGTGTCAACATTAGTTGCATTTGAATGAAGGTCAACTGAAGTTCACACACAAACACTTGTGCAGATTTGGGGGTGGTGATCTGCTGGATGAGGGAGACTCGGTCTTTTACAGGTTTACTGAGGCTTAAGATGCGACTCTCTTCTCTTTGCGGGCTCTTTTCAGTCGAGACTTCTGCAGAATGACCATTTGGTTTCATCAGATAAAAATGTACGTTGTTGTGTGCGACTGTGTTTGTTTACATGCGTAAGACTCACTTTTAGCTGCACTGTTGGATCCTTTCTGTATGGAATCAAATGGTAACTTTGTTCCATCTGAGGGAAATCTGTCAATCACACAAGATGTTCTATTTCTGCAATATACATTCTGAAACAATGAAATAACATTAATATGTGAATCACTGACTAATGTTTCCATGCACATCAATATTCCGATATCAATCAGAATTTGGCAATATTCCTATTAGTATTCTGCCTGATTCCACAAATTCATTAAAATGTTTTAATCAGAAATGTAGACACCTTCCGCTAAAATGAGACATATGCACATGCTCAGTCAGCAAGGGACTTTGGTGTTGTTGGGAAAAAGTGTTATTAAAAAAAGCTTATTAAATAGTGAAAAAGTAGTACTAAAATTCTCAGGAAACAAGAGCGGGAAAGGACACATGCATGGGTATATCGGAAGACTTACATCAACCAGGTATACGTGACAGTGTTGTTATTGTTAACTCAAACTAAAAGTATTAAAAATCATTTTCAGTCATTTAAATAATTATTAAAAAATAAATAGTTTTGATAATTAAAATGACTAAAACTAAAATAAAAATGATTCAAAGCTCTATAGAAATATAAAAAAGCTCATAAAAATTACAAAAGCACGAGACTTAAACTAATATTTTAAGGTAATTCAAAAGGTGTCCATTTAACAGGAAATGTGCATTCCCAAAGTAGTGGCACTCACCTAATGTAATCATATAAGTGGTGCCAGCTCTGTCCTTTGGGTACAGGGAAACACATTTCTCTGGGCATCGGGGCAGTGCCATCTGGCAACATCACACCGGACTGCCTGAACTCAGAGAATGACACACCTAAAAAAAAAAAAAAAAAAATTACTTTACACAACACTGTTCCAGAGCTCAAAGATGCTTCACAAGATTGACATTAAATGTTATACAATTCACAATCTGCAACTGTAAAAGCAGCAAAGTCTAAATGTACCAGGGTCAAACAGCAGGTCACTGGTGATGATGTTTTTAACAGACATATTGGCACAGAGTTTGATGCTCTTAAGGTGACTGTGTGTTCGGTTCAGATAAACCGAGAGCACGTAACGTAGGTCCATCGTCAAACACGTCCACCTAGTGCTCGGCGGCGCTGGGCCCACCAAACCTGAAATGCACAAGTATCACTCAGCAATCACAGCAACAAAAAGCGCTTGCTGTATGTAGAAAACATCATAATAATAAAAACCAACATCTGTGAGATGATAATAAAACAATGAATGACTACCTTGTTTAGCAGTACTGGCTGTATTCTCATACACTGAACAGTGTGCAGCTCCACACAGAAAAGGGAACTGCAGCCATGTCGCCGTGGACTTGAACTCTTTGAACATGTTAGAGAACGACACACGGATCACCTGACCCTCCTGAATGATCAACAAAGCAACAAAGCGTGATATACAGGACAGTTTTGTTATTGATAATAAAAACTAAAGCATTAAAGCAACACCAAGGAACTTTTCCTCTGCGGTCGCCCTACAGGTTGGAAGCGGAAATGTCCATTACCGCTGTCGTAAATAACTTAGCCTACCGCAGCCTACTGTCGCACGCACGCTCGCTGTTTATCCAGCACCGGCTTTGGAATCAACAATGGCAGACATCCCAACCTGCAAGAAGTCATTTCAGGGAGGTATATCTTGGTGACTGGATTGTTGATGGGGGGGTGGCGCGTTGACTAGCTTTCGTGAGGTACACTCGCAAGGTCTCTCGCTCTCTCCCTCTCTGCCGTGCTCGCGCTATGTATGTTATGCGCACAGTATGTTCTGTCTCGCATGCACGCTCTAGATTCCGGGAGATTTGAACTAATTTGCGGGCATCAGGGAGACGCTATAGACTTGTGATGTCTGCAATGGCCACAGACAATTTGAGGAAGTGGTGGGGGAAGTGACGTATGCCGTAAAGCAGTCGAGTTTTGTAGTTCTTTTTGTGCTCGGGTTACTACCCGAAACCTGAAGTTACATAGTGCGAGTAAAAGCAATACAGACCACGTCAGGCTATGGCAGACGTGTCATTTAACCTATTGTAAGTCGATGTACCATCACAAGGGTCTTGGAAATATATTATGAAGGTTGAAAAGTTCCATAGTGTTGCTTTAATATAGATATGCACATGAAAGCCTGTAGCTATGCAGATAAAACTACACTCTTCACCTCAGCTGTGATGTCCAGGTGCACGATGAAGTGTTTGTTTGGGCTGGGTCTGAACAGCAGGTAGAGGAACTGGCCAGTGAGACCCAGAGACTGGCTGCTGGTTTTGGGAAGCAGGATGTAGTTACTGGCCGGAACAGAGCCACGGATCCGAAACACAGAACATTTCAGCTTCTTATCCTAATAAACAATACAGCACGATAAATATAACATATAATGAATGCTAATGAGAATCTTGTGCAGCAACAACATATTATAGTTTTACATGGATTAAACCCCTACCATGTATGTTGTGACGTCTCCCTCTTTGCTGACTTTCTTCCATTCTTCTATCTTCATGTGTTTGAAGATGTTTACATACGGCTGCTGCCACAGAGCTGATGGAGAGATACAGACACAATCATCATTCATCACTGCTGGATGTTTATTTAGATACACTCGACCCTGCATGTGTGCTGTACATTGTTAAAAGCATTGTGAGCGGGAGTTTTCAAACTGGGGTCCGCAAGGTAGAGCTTGAGGGTCCAGTGAAAAGTTTAGGGGAAAAACAGTGAAATAATGTAAAAATAAATAATAAAAAGTTTTATTAAAATTATTTAAAATTGTAAAATACATTTTATTAGAATAAATTAAATAAATAAATAAATAAATAATAAAGTACCAAACCCTTACAGTACAGTAATGCAGTGAGTAGAATGAACCAAATATTTTCCTAATCATATTGTACACATATTTATAATTTAATTTATTTACAATTTAAACTGGATATTTACACATGAAAACATAGCTGGCTTTTAAATTTTAGTTTGGTTACATTGGGGTATCCATGGTATATAACAGATTGAACCCCCCTGATGTATGGTATATAATGTGCACATTTACTGCACTGTATATTTCAAATTGTATTATACTGTATTGGATATTGTGCTCTGCTGTACTGTATATTGTGCTGCTATATACAGAATCTTCCGTCTTTTAAAAAAATAACTCAGTCCAGGACAGGTCCTTTATACTCAGTGAAGTGATTTAATGGGTAATGTAATCTTACCTCTGGAAGACATGTTTACTTCACAGATCTGATTCACCTGTTGACAGCTAACGAACTGTAGCTCACAAACTACCAAAAACTAAATCAATTCACTTCCGTTTCCTACATGTCCAGAAAGGTTTTATCCATCAGAAAACCGTTCATCGTTCATCATAATTTTAGATTTGAAACATGTTTTGAGGGTTTTGCAGGTCTGCGAGTTTGTTGTGTTGTTGATGAACCGCTCTCCTCCTCGCGCTGCAGAGACCGCCGCGACGCGTTCGAACGGCATGACGTAGGGCCTACGTCATCATGCCTAAAACTGTGAATCAGAGCCGTTAAATATGTGAATCACCGAAGGACAATGCAGAGAAAGACATTTTTATCTTATTTATAAGCATATTTTAATAATAATGGGGAACCTTCATGTACATACAGAAATGAACGGTGTGTGTAATTGTGTAAATTTCCCCTAAAAGTCACAGAATAGACGCCAGCTATTGGGAAAAAAATGAAATAATAATGCAGAGAACTTTTTTGTGGTTCATTTCTCATTTTTTGCATTCATATTTTTACTGTATATTCTCGATATTGTTTGTGTATTTTTCATATATTATAATCTAAAAACATCCGTTAAAATTATTGACTGTATTGAACATTCTATCGGATTATTGTTGAGATCGTTATTATTATTATGATATACCAGACGTTTGGTTTAATTTCGCAAGAAAAAAGTTTTAAGAAAACGCGTTTCGCATTTGTAATTTTGTTTGTCCTTTTTGGGCTTCCATAGGTCCGTTTGGCTGCTATAGTGACGAATACAGCAACAGACGCGTATGCATGTAAGAATTCCGCTTTTATGCTAATTATCCCTCTTATTTTACATGATTTACGACTAAAACGGTAACAGGTTTGTTATAATTCTCGATTGTCAGGATTTGGACATGAATTTGAGAGGGAAGGTAAAAGTCGACGATCAAGCAAACTAGCTGCTTTTATCTGATGAGGCTTGTTGAAATTAGTATATTTACCCCTCATCAAGTCACAAGTTGTTAAATATATTATCTTTTTATATATATATATGTATATGGTTCCAGTGAGATTTGAAATCTTAACTATGTGTACATTAACAATGAAAGTGTATTCCTTTTAGTGGAATGTCATTTTTCTTCTTGTCTATAATAGGTGACAGTCGTGTGTTCACTGGATTAAAAGACAGCAATCATGTCTTTTAGAGATCTGAGAAGTAAGTGAACCTAAACCTAAGTACTACTTTAATATTTGCAGTATGTAGTGTGTATGAATATTTGTTAAAGACTTATGTTATGATCTGGATATGTAGATTTTACAGAGATGATGCGAGCGCTCGGGTATCCTCGTCTCATCTCCATGGAAAACTTCAGATCTCCAAACTTTCCTTTAGTAGCTGAAATTCTCATCTGGCTCGTCAAGAGGTAATACATATAAACATACATGTGAGAGGCTGGCAGAGAGACATTCAATTCAGAGCTATGTGTGTTAAATATGTATGAATATATAAAAAAAATATTTGTATGTATCTTCCCCTAGATATGAACCTCAGATGGAAATTCCCAGTGATGTTGACACCGAATCAGACAGGGTGTTTTTCATCAAAGCTGTGGCCCAATTTATGGTAAACTATATTATTGTGCTAATAATCATCATATTTGTTCACTTAAGACTTTTTCGTCTAGAATGGGTAAAACATGTTTAGAATAATTTCTGATGTAGACGTGAGCTATCAAAATACAGCATGTGTTGAATTCACTGCATGTTCTCTGTGTTTCTCTAGGCCACCAAGGCTCATGTGAAGCTGAATCTTAAGCGTCTATATCAGGCAGATGGTTACGCTGTCAAAGAGATGCTGAAAATCACCAGCATCCTCTATAATGCCATGAAAACCAAAGAGAACGCCAGTGGTGACCAGAACAATGACGAAAACAGCAAGTTCAAGTTTGATCTGGGGTCAAAGGTAAATTGAGTTCGATATATATCATAAATTCAAACATAAGCAGACTTTTCAAGATGAGTTAGTGTCATCATAATCAATCATTTACATGATGTTTTGTTTATGTGTGTGCGCAGATTGCTGATTTAAAGGTGGCACGTCAGCTGGGATCTGAAATTACAGCAAAGGGAGCAGCTCTGTTTGACCTGCTGGGGCACGAAGAGGACCTGAGAGAGAGCAGGGCGGCTGCGATAGCCCGACCGCTGGAGATCACTGAGACAGAGAGAGCCCTGAGAGCGGCTGTCAAAGACGTTACGGTAAAACACTGATCCTCGCAGGTTCACAAGATCATGTTTTTCATGTTATATGATCACTTCAGTATGCTTTAGATGGCTTTTCAATATTGCCAAAACAAAGGGTCTCATTCACTAAGCATGTGTGCGCACAAATTTTGTCGATGAAATCCGCGTACGAACGTTTTCACCAACAAATCATGATTCACCAAAAACTTTCATACTAAAATGTATTCAAAATGTACGAAAAAACAACTGAAACCACACGTACACAAAAAGGCCACATGATTTCTGTGTGGCCTTATGATCGTGTTAAGAAGTTATATTTCATCTTAACACAACTTTAATTATTTTATATCAATTCAAAATCACTTTCTCTTTCAGGTCAGTTCTTAAAAAGTATGATTTTAGTGCATTCAGTGAGTAGTGTAGTTGAATTATTTACCAAGCAAAAAGAACAGTAGGAACATCTTTGGAGAATTGTGATGTTATTTTGTGGTCTGAATGACATCTATCCTTGTGTATCTTTGTTTGTCTGTGTTCAGGAGAGCATCCAAATGACGAAGGATCTGCTCAATAACGTATCGTCAGATGAGGCCAGTCTGGAGGCCAAAATCGAGAAGAAGAAACAGGACCTGGAGAGAAACCAGAAGCGTTTACAAACTCTACAGAGCGTGCGGTGAGCTGCTACTGTGGCATTTCACTATCATTCATATACTATTATTTTTTGTTAATATTTTGAATTCATTGAATTTATTTTTATATTCATTTTTATTTCAATTTTAGTTCAAGTTTTAGTAATTATTTTGTGTTTTTGTAATTTTTATTAGTTAAAAAAATATATAATTTTTATTATTAAATTAAATATATATATATATAAAATTTGTATTAAGTTTTAGTTATTTTAGTACTTTAACTTAAACTTTTTTATGGTTTTAGTTCTAGTTAACCCTTGCTGCACAAAATATACAAATGCACAAACTATTAAAACACTCTCTGTCACTGTGTTTCAATATGTAGTCCAGCGTTTATGGATGAGTATGAGAAGATCGAGGAAGACTTGCAGAAACAGTACCAGACGTATGTGGAGAAATTCCGTAACCTCAGTTTCCTGGAGCAGCAGCTAGACGACTATCACAGAGCCGAGCAGGAACGCTTCGAGGTACGACCAGTGGAGCCTCTCTCTGGTACTCATATGAGGCCTGTACCTAAACCTCATCATTTCATCTATCCAGCTAAATATACAAATAACAAAGGACAACAATGAGTGGAACTCTTGAAACCTATCAAGAACGTGATATTTCTGTCATATTTCACCCAAATTCACCTCAGTAATTCACTTTAAAAAGTCAATGCTGATGTTTTCTTCCAGGAAGCAGAAATGACAATGAAAATGAGACAAAACAAATTAAAAGAGGAGGAGAAGAGACTCATGAGGAGTGGAGGTGGGTCGAACACATTCAAACACACACGTTTGAACTGTCGAAGATGCAGAACCTGCATCTTTGTTGATCCTGGAACCCCTTTCCATTCAACCAATCAGATTTGAGGGACAAGTTTACAGTTTTTCAAGTTTAGACTTACAACCTGGGTTTGGTGCTTCTACATTAGTGTCTTTAGAGATAACTCGTGGGTAGGGTTAGGTTTAGGGATAGGGATATGGTTAGGATCACATTTTCATACTGGAATGTTGTTCCAGGATCAACAAAATATGTTGACTCAGGAACACGTCTAACTTGCAAAATCAGGACGTGCGTCAAATATCTCACGGCTTCTCTTCCTCTGTAGCAAAAGATGAAGACTCAGATGTGGACATACCAGAGGATGAAGGATCTGACAGCGACATGGATGACGGGCAGCAGCCCAGATCACACCTCGCACGACACGCTCAGATGTCAGGTGACGGAAGACGTTCAGCATAATCTGCTGCTCCACTCACACACACACATACTGTATCTGATCGTACTTGATTTGTGTTTGTGTGTTTCTGCAGGTCGAGGTGGGGCTCGATTCATTGGCAGTATGAGAGGAGAAGACAGTGAAGAGGTGAGAACACACACACACACGTTCACATACATAATACATCATACCGAACAAAAGTTGTTCGTTTAGTATTATTCTTAAACATTTGGAATATTTAATTCATATTTCGAATTAGCTTTTATTTCCGTTTTCATTTTCATTTTAGATTAAGTTTTAGAAAAGTTGTGCTTTTTTCAGTTTTTTTGGTAACACTTTACAATAAGGTTCCATTTGTTATCATTAGTTAACTAAATTAGTTAACCTAAATTAACAATGAAACATACTTCTAAAGCATTTCTTAATCTGTGTTTATCTTAAAGTCAACATTTACTAATACATTAATAAAAATCAAAAGTTGTCTGTTAATATTATTTAATGGACTTGAGCGAACATGAACTAAGAGTTAACAGGGATTAATAAAGATCAGTTTTAGTTAGCAATAACAACACTGAACCGACTTTTTCCTCATTTATTCTGTTATATTCTTCAGATTATTTAGCCAATCATGGTTTCCAAGCTCTCTGGCTTTCTTTTTCTCCCTTCACATTTCCCTGTTTTTCCTCCATGATCTCTACACTGTATATGCCACCAGCTCTCATTTCATTCACTCCGTTTTCACTCCATCTCTCTTTCTCTTCCTCTGCACTCGTTCTTCAAGCCCAGAGTAAAGGAACGAGCTCGTCTATCCGGCAGCGGCCGGAAGCAAAAGAGAAGAAAGGTGGCGTGTGTGTGTGTGTGTGTGTGTTTGAGTGCGTGTTTGCGCCAGTGTTATTTATATAGTATTCAAGGGTTATTTTACCCATAAATAAAAATTCTGTCACCATGTCGGTCCAAACCCGTAAGACTTTCGTTCATCTTCGGGAAACACAAAATGAAGATCTTTTTAATAAAATCTGAAAGCTTTCTGTCCCTCCATTGACAGCCACGCAACTGACACTTACAAACCCCAGAGCGATAGTAAAGACATCATTAAAGTAATCCATGTGACTCCAGTGGTTTAACCTCAATTTTATAAAGTAAGTTTGCTGTGTTTGCGCAAAAAAAAAACAATTTACCACTTTATTATTTATAGATTTAAAAAAGTAAAAAGATTTATAGATTTATTTATTTTATTTCAGTTTTAGTAATTTAGGTTCTCTTTCAAGTTTAGACTAACTGACTGAACTTGGTCAAAGTTTTTTAAAGTTGATGTTTTTTCATTTAATATTTATATTTTATAAGATGGCTTTCAATTAATAAAATTTATTTTAGTTTTGTTTTAGCTATCTACAACAACACTGGTGTGTTTGAGTGTGAGTGTGAACTCGTGGACGTTCTCATAATTACTCATTCTAATACTTCTGAATTAGGGGTATTAATTGAGCCTCGTTCCAATCGCCATCCACTGACCGCTGTGTGTGTCTTCTGTTATATAATTCACAATGTGCTTTGATTTGCAGTCAGAGAACAGTGAGATTGACGTAGACGATGATGATGAAGATGGTGAGGAAGATGAGGAGGAAAACGAGGATCTGGACGAAGACAATGACAGTCTGGAGGGCTCCTCTGCCAAAGGCGGACGGTCAAAGCGATCACTACACCCACAAATCCTTGAGGAGAGCGACAATGACTTTTAACATGCAACTTGATCATGCAGTTGCTTGTACATGGAAAAACATTAATACGCTAACATGGAAAAATACGCTCAGTTGGCCTTCTTTAAACTTTTCAAGAATCAATTCCTATGTAACCTGCTGCATCAAACTGAATGTGACAATTTACAATGTAAATACCAAAATGTAATTTCCCAAAAATGAATATATCTTCTTGTTTGTATTCAAGTGTAGCTGCCTGTTCAATTGCCTTTCAAATTATCAGTTATTTGTATTCATTTGAGTAAAAGTTCAACTAAATTGTTATTTTATTATGGCAACATCTCTGTCAGTTCTGTTTTATAAAATAAACATTTATTATTACACAACTTTAATACATAAACAAAACTATTTACATGAATATGACTAAATAAACATGTTTTTTGAACTAGATATCCACCACACAATCTGGTGCACCAGCTTTGATGGCGTCTGACACGACCTTTGCCCCCGACTCCCCGATGCCATTACCCTGGAGACTGAAGAGAAACACATGACACGCATCACAGACAAATCTCACACTCGAGTGAAATGTGCCATTCACTGCAAAATATAAATGATCAGTCTTCAGAATCACAGCCTCACCCTCTGCAAACATTTACCACATGCGCCATCATGCGATCGTAACACTCTGCGGTTAAACCTCTCACACACAGACAGCGGTTCACACAAACCCCCACACACACACACACACACAGACTGACTTGATGTAGGTGAGCTGATGGTTTCCTCTCAGTGCAGTCGCGATGAAGATCGCTCCGTCCATCCCCAGAGAGTTCTCCTGTAGACTACAAACATGTGCAAATATGTTATTTTAACATTCATGTTCTGTTTGGCAATAGAGATGCAAGCATCTTCTCACATGCTAAGATGAATTCACTTCACATGCCAACATTTATTTGCATTTTTTTAATGCTAATTTGTTTTAAAATAATACTTTTATTCAGCATTGATGCATTAAATTGATCAAAGGTGACAGTAAAATATTTATAATGTTACAAAAGATTTCAATTTCAAATAAATGCTGTACTATAAAATAATCAACGAATAAATAATGTATCACAGTTTCCACAATAATATGAAGCAGCACAACTGTTTTTAACACTGATAATAATCAGAAATGTTTCTTGAGCAGCAAATCATCATATTAGAATGATTTGTGAAGGATCATGTGACACTGAAGACTGGAGTAATGATGCTGAAAATTCAGCTTTGATCACAGGAATAAATTACAGTTTAAAATATATTCAAATAGAAAACCATTTTTAATTGTAATAATATTTCATTATATTACTGTATTTTCGATCAAGTAAATGCAGCCTTGGTGAGCAGAAGAGACTTTAAAATCAAATAAAAATCTGAATTACTACAAACTTTTGAACAGTATTGTATATTAAAAAAATATGCAAATTAAAAAAATGAGCCCCAAACAAAAGCATGATTCCTGTACTGGATACCAGCCACAGTTCTGCAAAGCACACGTGCACTTAGTGATATAACAGAGGGTTAGAGTGTATCTGTCAGGTATGTTTAGATTAGGATGTAGGAATATATAGAGTAAATAATGTGGTGTTTGTAGACATACTTCAGACTTCTCAAACCCCTGTTGTTCTTTAGAGCGCTGGAAAACGCCTTCGCTCCTTCCATCCCGATGGAGTTTCCACGCAGACTAAAACAACAACAGAAACATTAGATAGATAGATAGATAGATAGATAGATAGATAGATAGATAGATAGATAGATAGATAGATAGATAGATAGATAGATAGATAGATAGATAGATAGATCAACACACAGAACAACGGATGGATGGATGGATGGATGGATAGATAGATGAAATGAAAATGAAGACTTACTCTAGTGTATGAAGGGTTTCATTGACGACCAGAGCGTTGGCTAGTGCAACGGCTCCTGATTTACCTGCTGATACACCCTGAAGACTATAAAAAACACACACACACACACACACACACACACACACGCAAGGTCAGACACTACCAGCTTTAGCAAACAGCCATGAAATATGAAGACAGCTGAAGTGAGACTCACTAGAGCACACCGAGAGAAGAGTTTGACCTCAGAGCACAGGCCAGAGCAATGACACCATTATCACCAAGAGCGTTCTCCTGCAGACTGAGAGGAAACATTCGTCACACACACGTCCCTGTACAATGAAGTTGAGACATGCACTGTTTAAAAATAAAGGTTAATTCCAACAAGAACCAAAAGGAGTTCTTTTTTCTTTGCGTGAACGTTTTGTGCAATGGAAAGATTCCATGGATGTTAAATATTCTTCATGGAACCATCGATCCCAATAAAGAACTTATATTTCTAAGAGTGAAGAATATAAGGTGCTAAAATACAGTGTTAATGAGGAAAAAAAGAGATCTTTTTGCACAGGATCAGGTTGATTAGTAGAGTAGACAGTCTTACTCCAGAAGCTGAATGCAGGTGTTGCTCATGAGAGACTGAGCTAAAGCTTTAGCTGCTCCAGCCTTCATGAAGTTCCACTGGAGGCTGAAACACACACACACACACAGCATGACCTCACATCCTAACACGGATGACATCAGTAGATGATATCATTTCCTGACTGCCAGTCACAAAGTTGATCTTCAAGGTTCTCATTAGTTTGTGTCTATGGTCTTAAGTTCCGTTGATTTAACTCACTGTAAGGATGTGATCGCTCGGTTGACCCTCATGGCTTCAGCGATGGCCGTCACACCCTCATCATGAAGAAGATTAGCGGTCAGACTACACAAACACAGATAAAACACAGATGAATGGATTGTAATATGTTCAGGTCAATGAAAAGTGTTGCATTATGAAGAAGTGAGTTGTGCGGATAACAAAAGCTCAATAGGGTGAAAATGAAAATTAGCAAAAATTTAATTTCTTTCTTCTTCTGAACAAAAAAGAAGATATTTGGAATAATATTGGTATAACCAATATAAATATTAAAATTAATTTAATACCAATATTAATATTAAAATTAAATTTAAATTAATATAATCCCAAAAATTGCAACTGACCAAAATCCAAAATTATTACTGTATATAAAAAATACACATGTATAAAGCTAATTATAATTATGAAAGACTATAAAATATTTAATATTAATTAAAATAAAAATTATATTTATATGTTTTATTAAACATATTTTATTCATTTACATTTTATTTACTTTTACTTATATGAAATATTTGTAATATTTTATTTTTTATAAAAAATATTTTATTATAAATAAGTATGTATGTGTTGATTATAATAATTTGTAATACATATTTATAATATTAAAATATCTATATTATACAAATCTAACATATTTATAATATAATAAATATGTGTAAATATACTATATATATATATATATATATTAATCATGTGTACTTACTCGAGTTCTCTAAGACACGTGTTGACTTTTAAGGCTTTGGCGATGTCTTTGGCACCAGAAACTCCTATTGAATTCTCCCTTAGACTGCCACCAAAAATATACACAAAAACAGCATTATTTCTTAGCCAGAACATAAATGTTTAATAGTTTAATACTGTGGAGTTTGACATGTGCATGACATACTTCAGACAGCTGAGTCCTCGGTTTGACTGAAGAGCGTGTGAGAGCGCTCTAATGCCTCTGTCACTCACAGAGTTACTCTGAAGACTAAACCAGAGACACACACACTCAGTCAGAGCTGCTTCTGTAGTGGACAGTGTGAAATCAACTTGCTAAACTGATGTTGTGTTTTACCTGAGCGTGTGGAGAACGTGGTTGACCATAAGCGCTTGAGCCAGAGCCACTGTTCCCAAATCACCCAGATGATTGCCGGACACACTGTAGACACACACACACACACACACACACACACAATTATTCTCAATAGAGAGTTTCATCTCTCCGCTAATCACTCAATCAGACTTTAAGCACACTTGAGAATCTTACTTGAGATCCTGTAGAGTTTGATTCTTTGTGAGGGCGTCTGCGATTTTTTTCACTCCTTCTGCTCCAATGCCGTTCTTCTGAAGACTGCAATGCATGAAGATTTGCATTTGCATGATGCTCTGTTAAAGCACACACACACACACACACACACACACACTGAAACACAGACTCACTTCAGTGTGGTGAGCTTTCGGTTTGACTGAAGAACCTCCGCCAGCGCACGAGCACCGTCATCCTCTATCTGGTTACTCTGCAAACTATACGAATCAACACACAAACACACATATTAAATACTTTAGGACTTAAATTTAGACATTCAAGTTGTTTTTTATTACTTTAATTTATTTAATAATAAATAATAAAATAAAAATACATTTTAAAAATTGTAATTGTTTTATTTAATATAAATATTCTAAACAATTTTGTTATGGCTAATCAGAATTCACTTGACTGAAAAAAGGACCTCATTTTTTATTTTATTAATATAATTTATGAAATTAGAAATACAGCATTTTAAAGTAATTTAATATTATATTATATTCCATTTAATTATATTATAGGCTATTATATTATATTATATTATATTATATTATATTATATTATATTATATTATATTATATTATATTATATTTAGTGCTGTCAAATCAATTAATCACATCTAACATAAATGTTTGTAAATACAAACACACACACACACACATATGTATATTTACAAACTTTTATGTTAGAAAACTATTAATCAACTTGACAGCACTAATTATATTATATTATAAATGACAGCTGTCACAATTCTATAAAGGTTTATTAGAACTCACTTGACTGACACGAGGACCTGATTCATTTTGAGTGCCTCGCTCAAGGTCTTCGCTCCCTTGGCGCCGATGTTGTTGCCACGGAGGCTAAGAGAAACAAGATCTATTTTATTTAACATCCTCAATTTCCCTTGTTGGTTTAGCTTATTAGGATCAAGGGCAAAGGAAAGGACATGTCACATTAGTTTGCATTATATTATTCAGTGACCATGTTAAAATATAGTATTAAAAATACAATAAAATGCACAAAAATACAATATACAAATACAAACAAAACTAAATGTTGTTAATAAAGTCACTGACTCCAGGGCCGTGAGGGTTCGGTTGACGAGTAGAGCCCGACTGAGTGGATTAACTCCTTTACTGCTGATTGAGTTGTCAGCCAGACTAGAAAAGAGAGAGAAAGAGAGTTAAACAAGTCAATAAGTTTTATAAATTTGAAAAAATATGAATTATATAATGAAGACTTACTCTAGTGTAGTATAATTATATTTATTTTATGCTAAGTCTACTACAAATACATATACTTAATATAAATACCCTGCAATTGTACTTTTTGTATACTAACAACTAATTTTGTACTTTTGCACTTATGTATATTTGATTGTGCTAAAATGGAATTATTGCAAGTACTTTAGGTGCACTTGCATTTAAAGATTATATACTATACTATCCTTACTAATAGTGATATTAAAACACATTTTAGGCTTAATATTAAGAAATGTGCATTGTGCAATAAAGAAGTTCTCCAAATAAAGTTTAATATTATTATACATTTATATCAGTAAGTCTCAAGCGATATGTCAGTAAGTATGTTGATGGATTTGTAGTATACTTAGTATGAAAAAAATCTATTTTAAATACATTTTGATATAGGTTTTTTTCACTAGGGTTAAGAGACAATCTAATAAAAATTACACACATCAAAATTACTTGTTGACTAAAATTACAATAAAAACAATTTCAACGTAATAATAGTACATCAATAATCCTAAAATAACATTGGTACCTGAGCATCTGAATATGGCACTCTTTGGCACTCAACAGACTTCCCAACAGCTCCATGGCACCTTCCTTAAATTCATTGTTTTCCATTCTGTAATTACAAAGGATACACAATATATTTAAATTGAAAAACGTTTTGTTATTCCACACACAAGCTGAAATATATCACTCAAAGTGTAGAGACTACTTTTACTGTCTTTTATTTCATAATTTGTGTTTGCATTTGCCAGTGTAAATTGAAGGATGTGTTAAAGGGGTTGTTCAGCCAAAAATTCTGTCATTAATAATTACTCACCATCATGTTGTTTTATAATAATATTATCCAAAGCGCGTTCACAGAACAACTTCCGGTCTTGAGTCAACACAACACGTGGTGCTCCCCCTACTGGATTGCAGGTCAATATTTTCGTAAATAAAGTTTTTTTTTGTGCAAACAAAGCACTCACGTCGCTTCATAAAATCGAGGTTAAACCCCTGGAGTCACATGGATTACTTTTGTGATATCTTTCCTATCGGTCTGGACCTTGAAAGTGGTAGTTGCTTAGCTATAGGTCTATGGAGGGACAGAAAGCTCTAAGATTTCATAAAAAATATCTTCATTTGTATTCCGAAGATGAACGAAAATCTTACGGCTTTGGAACGACATGAGGGTGAGTGATTAATGACCATTTTTACAGTCTATGTTAATGACATTAATTTCAATTTTGGGTAAACTAACCCTATAAGGGCCTTTTCTTTGTATTTACATGCACGTTTTACCTCAGATTACTGCAGTACAGCAGTTGTGGGAGGAGCCTCTTTAGGGAGGAGGAGTCTAGGCAATTAGACAGTTGCGTTTCTTCTGTACATGCATCTGATACTTGCAACAAGTAAGCTAGCACAGAGCAAACTCCACCCTTCAGCTTTCCCCGCAGGCCGCAGTTAATGAGATCCTCCTCGACTGACCGTAGCCACTCCCCTTGTTGCAGCTCCGCCAGACACGTGACTATTGTGACGCTGCGCATACTTACGGCGTCGCCTCCTGTCCCCGTCACCGTATTCTGAAGCAAATTTGTCGCCGTGGTGCGCTGGGTCACCTGCTCCTCGCGGGAAATGCCCAGAGGACCACCTAGCAAAGCGGTGACCGCCGGAGACATCAGCCCTGACAAGAAGCGCATGAAGAGGTCGAGGTTGCCTTGCGCTGCGGCGTCCGATTGGTTGGTTTTCTGCAGCGCTGCACGGTAGTGACTGTGGAAGCCAATGCGGGGCCAGGAGACACTACTTTCGGAGAACAGATCAAACATCCCACGCCTTGACGAAACGTAGTAAAAAAGAGCTCCCAGGAATTCCTGCACAGACGTGTGCGTGAACTGCCACACCACGCTATCGTACGACCAGCTTTGCTTGCGCTGGAGGATGCGGTGGCCGAGAGTCCCAACCTGAGGAGGTACGTCAACACCGTAAGTTCGCAATTCGTTCTCGCTGAATGTATACCGTCGCCGTAAAAGGCTATAAAACGCAAGACGACCCAGAGAGCTCAGCGGCTTCCTGATGCTGCCACTGGCCGGGTCTGATCCAGAGAGCTGTGGCCAACAGTAGTGGGCATAGACTTCTGTAAGAGTCCGCGGAAGGGGCGTGGAATCTGAATCCAATTTTATAAGGCGCGATAATGTAGTCACGATAATGTGGCAGACCGCGGGGACGGAAGACAAAATGAGCAACGGTTTCTGAGAATTCAGGTAAGTCCACACTTGAGAGGAGACATCCTCAGGTGTGTACGTTTGAGACGATGAGCTCTCTTGTGATAAAGAGTACACATCTAACTTGTTCGTTATACAATGATCAATATAATTCTTTATTTGCGTTCGCGAAAGAGGCGGGGCTTCGGTCACACGATCGACCAATCCCGCCGGAACTTTTGCCCCAACGCCAGGCCTTGACAAAAGCCACAGCGTTGCCCATGGCAACAGGTTGCCTCGTACAATATTCGCAATGAGGTCCGATACTGGAATTTCGCGACGAGGGTCGCTAGTGGGCGGGGCATCTGCAAAATCCAACGATTGGCGAAATTCTTCCAACCCATCCAAAATTAGCAATATCTTGCAGGACTCATTAAAAGTAATTACATCCATGTTATCATATGGAACGAACAACCGTAGCAAGCGCTCGACCGATAACCGATCGAAACTGCTCAATTCCCAGCATGCAATGGGGATCGCAAGACTCAGCTCTGGATAGATGTGACCGCTGCTCCAAAGTTGGATGAAACGGTGGACCATTCGGGTCTTCCCGCTGCCAGCTACGCCCACGGTCAGCGTCACACGTGGGGCGGTGCTAACCCTCGTCAAAGGCACAATCAGCTTGTCCAATCCCAGCGCTCGACCGTGAAGAGGCCCCGCCCCTCTGTTGACTGACACCTGCACAAGGTCGTGTTCTCGCTGCTGAAGGTCAGATACGCACTCAATAAGGAGGAAAGAGGAACCGTGTGAGCTTCCACCGGCTTGAGTTTTTTCATCGTCTTTGAGTCGCTGAAGTAGAGCGTCTTTATGCGGTCGAACCACAGAGTCTGCGGAGAGAAAGAGGGAGAAGTGAGGAACTCAGGGATGAAAAATGATTGGAAAAGAACAAATAAAGTCATGCATACCATGTATAGTTATAAGGTTGTACTCAGTCTGGTGTGAACTTTGAAGATAAGTCTGAAGGGCGGCGCCATGTGGATCAGTGACAGACAGGAACTCAACCAATAAATGCACTTTATCCTTCAAAGCCCCCATTTCCTGGATAAGCCCCACCTCCTGTGTATTGAGCAGGTCTGCTTTTCTCATGTGATGGACCACATTTACCAAGATGGAGGTGGATAAGAACCTTTGCAACAAAGCCTGGTGTCTGCGTAACCACCCGGGATCTGAAGAACAAACGAATACATACACAAAGAACATGTAGCATAAGCTTTTAGAAATAGGAATGCAAAGATAAAAAAAATTCTTTTAGTACTGAAAATTAATCCGATAACACTTTAGATTTATTGTACACTTTATTAGTTAATGCATTAGAGCAATACATTTGTCACAGTATTTATTAATCTTAACATTAGTTAATAAAAATACAACTGTTCATTGTTACCTCAGGTCTATTAAATAATATAGATACAACTTAATTTGAATAGTGTATTAGGAAATGTTGAAATTTGACATGAACTAAGATTAATAAATGTTTTAGAAGTATTTTTCAGTGTTAGTTTATGCAACGTAATGTTAACAAATGGAAGATCATTGTAATTAATAAAAATGAAAAAAAAAAACATTTTTTAAATGTAGCCTATAGATTTTAATATTTAATATTAATAGCTGTTATGATTATAGGAAATAAGAACTGGTCTGTATTAAACATCTATACTACTTTTTTAATTCAAAATATGAAATACAAATATAAATATAAATATATAAAAAATATTACAGCATTTAAAAAAAATTATGCACAGGCCTGTGTTACCGTAAATTGGTAACACATATTTACCATAATTGTTACCGTAAATTGGTAACAATTATGCACAGGCATCTCTGTTACCGTAAATTGTATGTTTATCTCTGTAAAGCTGCTTTGAAACAATCTCCATTGTTAAAAGCGCTATATAAATGAAGATGACTTGACTTGACTTGGCATGTATGGATCTGCTAAAGTATTTAATATTCACTATTAATGGCTGATATTGGTGATGACAGAGAAATTGTCAGTATTGTACATTTATACTACTTCATTATGTATAAAAAATATAAAATACAAATATATTTATACATACAAATATACAATAAATAAAAAATTATGTATTTTATTTTAATGTAATATTTTAATGTAATTTTTATGCACAGACACTCACAGATCTGCTAAAGTTTCTAGATAATGCAACTATTAACTCTTAAAAGGGTCTTTGCCATAATCTCTTTCTATTCTTTTAAGTTAGCGCTAAATGATGGGGAAAAATACCCAATATTGATTGTAATTTTTTTTTTTTTTTTTTAAACCTTTACAAAAAGCAAGTTATTTGTGCTAGTGGGTGTGCGATGCCAATATATCCTATTTAGAAGTGAAATGTGTTTGTGGGCTCTCTATCTTTACCTTCCATCCTTTTGCTAGTCTCTTGTTTTTGAGCATTGGACTTCAGATCCAGGTAGCAGTATTCCTCCCATGGGATATGGTCATGTCTAGCCATCCCAGCAGAGCGCTAAAAGGAAAGCGTGTCCGAGTGTGTGTGTGTGTGTGTGTGTGCTGGGTATGAGACCATCAGTGTGATTCAGTAGGATCCATTCCCCTGTAACACACAAAATCAAATGGATACGGCATTGTGTATGACAGATTTGCACACACAAGTAATGCTCACATTTTCTTAGATGTATATTTTGTAATTAAAGAAATGTGGAATTGCACTGACATGCATGGTTTCTTCTAGTGATGTTAGTATACTAGTAAATGAACAGGGTATTCCAGCACATATCAGTTCAGTGGAAACCAAGACCTGACCTCATTACCCACATGCATCAACAAACATCGTGTTACTATGGTTACAGCACGAGATCTGTCCGAAACAGATGCGCGGCGCAGGTTAGAAGCCAGCAGAATTAAGAAAACTGAAAATTGTATGCTACAATAAGGTGAATTTCTATCAACAAAACAATCTGCATAGCATGTAGACTCAAAATGAGAAGAAAAACAAGCACAAGGAGGAGTTCAGGTGAGGTAGAAACTGCAACCTTGAGCTTCTCCTCAAACACAATGAGTCCCATATGACAGACACACAGCGGCAGAAAGAAACGGCGAAGTCAGCAGAACGCTCTCAAGCGTTTGCTTCTGCAGATGCTGAGGTTCATGTAGAAACCCCTGAAGAACAAACTGAAAACCTCACGGTTGAGCGTGACGAGTGATAGTGAAGTACATCAGTCATGGCTATCGATAATGTGGCTTCCATTTAAAGTTAAAACAGACCTTGAAATTAAGTCCAGTTAAAGGAGACTACTGTCATTGAATGAATGAATTAGTGGAAGAGGCTCATTGAGGTTGTTAAAGGCAGGGTAGGTGATTTGTTCCAGAAAACATTTTTTTAAATGCTGGTTAAAAGTCTCTTCACATCCTGATAGCAATCACGAAGTTAAGTGGTCTAAATGTATTTATATATGTATGTCAGTATGTCACCAAGCACAGCACCCGAAACAGCAGCCGCATAAATACTGTAAGAGATGGAAACCCGTGACATTACACTCGTGACTCGAATTTATGCGTTTCGATGTCAACACTATCAACGCCAAAATGAATCTGCAGCAGTCAGGGGATACAGGTCTGTGCTCTTCAAGTTGTTTGTTCATTATTATTGTGATGTCATGTGCTTTGACGCTTTTATTTGCTCCCTGCTGTACGCGGGCGTTCGTGTGTTTTGAAGGAGGCGTGGCTTTGAGACGCTCTGAAGGAAGGGTGGGATCTCATCATTTCAAAGCTAACCGCTCTCCGAAAATTGCCTACCCTACCTTTCAAATGTACAGTAGAAATTGTAATATTGTGGAATATTATTTCAATTTATAATAACTGTTTAATATTTAAATATCTTTTAAAATGTAGTGATCAAAGCTGAATTTTTTCAGCATCATTACTCCAGTCTTCAGTGTCACATGATCCTTCAGAAATCACTCTAATATGCTGATTTGCTGCTCAAGAAACATTTCTGATTATTATCAATGTTGAAAACAGTTGTGCTGCTGCATATTTTTGTGGAAACTGTGATGCATTGTTGTTTTCAGGATACATTTATGAATTGAAAGTTCAAAAGAACAGCAGTAATTTGAAATAGAAATCGTTTGTAACATTATAAATGTCTTAACGGTCATAATTCATTAAGCATTATGTATGAAATGTGCAGATAACAGAACAGTAACAGAACAGCAGTGTGTGTGTCAGTACAGTGTAACACTTTCACTCAAGGTGTAAACTGGCCTAAACGTCTTCACACACGAGTATGTAACTTCCTTTTTAACATTTAAAAAAAAAAAATATCAAACTATTTTTTTCCCACGGTTGGGTTTTTAATAGTAGCTGAACCCTGACAAATATTCTGCTGTAGAGTTATTCTGGTGCAACTTCACCAAATCAACAAGGTGCGTGGAAGGAAAAAGCTAAAGTATTTTTGGAATAATTCCAGCAACACTTGTGAAGTGGAAAATAGTACTGTTTATTTTGCCAATGCAAAGCCTATAACAATCATATGTGTGTGTGTGTATATATATATATATATATATATATATATATATATATTTATACATTTATATATTTATTTATAATAAATATATATGACAGATAGGTAGACCAAAAGATAGACTGAAAGACAGACAGACAGATAGATAGACAAAAAGATAGATAGAGAGACAAAAAGGTAGATAGATAGATAGATAGATAGATAGATAGATAGATAGATAGATAGATAGATAGATAGATAGATATAGATAGATAGACAAAAAGGTAGATAGATAGATAGACAGACAGACAAAAAGGTAGATAGATAGATAGATAGACAGACAAAAAGGTAGATAGATAGACAGACAGACAAAAAGGTAGATAGACAGACAGACAAAAAGGTAGATAGATAGATAGATAGATAGACAGACAAAAAGGTAGATAGATAGACAGACAAAAAGGTAGATAGATAGACAGATAGATAGATAGACAGACAAAAAGGTAGATAGATAGATAGATAGATAGATAGATAGATAGATAGATATAGATAGATAGATAGACAAAAAGGTAGATAGATAGATAGACAGACAGACAAAAAGGTAGATAGATAGATAGATAGATAGACAGACAAAAAGGTAGATAGACAGACAAAAAAGTAGATAGAGAGACAAAAAGGTAGATAGATAGATAGATAGATAGATAGATAGATAGATAGATAGATAGATAGATAGATAGATAGATATAGATAGATAGATAGACAAAAAGGTAGATAGATAGATAGACAGACAGACAAAAAGGTAGATAGATAGATAGATAGACAGACAAAAAGGTAGATAGATAGACAGACAGACAAAAAGGTAGATAGATAGACAGACAGACAAAAAGGTAGATAGATAGATAGATAGATAGATAGATAGATAGACAGACAAAAAGGTAGATAGATAGACAGACAAAAAGGTAGATAGATAGACAGATAGATAGATAGACAGACAAAAAGGTAGATAGATAGATAGATAGATAGATAGATAGATAGATAGATAGATAGATAGATAGATATAGATAGATAGATAGACAAAAAGGTAGATAGATAGATAGACAGACAGACAAAAAGGTAGATAGATAGATAGATAGACAGACAAAAAGGTAGATAGACAGACAAAAAGGTAGATAGATAGACAGACAGACAAAAAGGTAGATAGATAGATAGATAGATAGACAGACAAAAAGGGAGATAGATAGACAGACAAAAAGGTAGATAGATAGATAGATAGACAGACAAAAAGGTAGATAGATAGACAGACAGACAAAAAGGTAGATAGAAAGACAGATAGAAAGACAGACAGATGTTGTTATCAATATGTATGACATTCAGACAGTCAGCTTTAGTAAGGAAACTCAACACTCACTGTTGATTCAGTTGGTCGTGTTGTTCTTCAGATTCAGCGGCTCTAAACACACGCCAGAAGCAGCAGGTGTTTCACTAACCTCTGCTCGTCTCTACCCTACTTCTCACAGACCTCATCTTCATCCTCCATTCGGCACTTTCTGTTTGAGTGTCTGTCACGCACCGTCTGTCTTTTTCTTTCCCTCTCTTTCTATCCTTCCTGTCGCACCTCCTTCTCTTCCTGTGCAACAGGCCACAGATGCACTTTTGACGTGTAGCATCGTCTGACATGCTGCCATTGTGTGCACAAAACCACATACAAAACACACTTCCACACGCTTGCTTTGCATGCAGCACTGGACTGTGCATACAGAAAACAAAAACATATATTCATATAAATATGTATAAACATATATACACATGACTACAGTTGTGTGAAGATCATAACACAGACACACTAAGGTCAAAAAAGCTTAAAGGGTGGTGCAAATATGCAAATAGGGTGGTAAACAATAAAGAGTGAATGTAGGCACTATATTGGGGACTGTGTCTTAAGAAGATGCATCCGATACACAGGACAGGAAGTGCTGATTAAAGAACAGGAAGAGAAAAGAGACGAATGAGTGTGTGTATATATATATATACATACACATACTAATATAGTATATATAGAATATAAATATACACACACATATAACACCCTATAACACATTTGGTTAAAAATGACCAGCCTTTTAAAAATGTCTTGTAAATCACTTGTTATTATATTATCACCAAATATTGGATTCAATCTTCTTGTTAACGTGTTTTCTTTAAATTTGTACAGGTTTGTATATATTTTTGGAACTGATTGATCGTAAAAATGTAACATGGTTTTCACAAAAACATGAAGCAGCACGACCGTTTTCAACCATTATTAATAATTGAGCACAAAATCAGCATTTTACTATGATTTCTGAAGGATCGTGTGACATTGTATTTTTGATTAAATAAATCGGCCTTATTGGCGAGCGTAAGAGCTTTCTTATAAAAAAAATTAAACAATTGAACGGTAGTGTACATGTACAGTGTTATATAGAAGAGAAAATGAATTCATGCACAGCCAATGTTAACGAAAAACATTTATTATGATGGTATTTTTTTTTTTTAAAGAAAATTTCCTCTTACAAATGTACATGTCTGATCATCAAAAATCAATGATGAAAGACTAAATCAATAATCAATTACATAAAAAGAACCTACAAGGAACCAGTGACAATGTAAAGTTGTCAAATTGTATTTTAGTTTTGAAAAAACACAGCAAAATGCAAAAAAAGACCTTTGAAAATGAACATAATGGAACACATTGCAACTCTACACTTCGACACTAGTAATCAATGCATGTATGTAATGTAATCATTATACTTTGTCATTTCGACCCTTTATTTCCTGCATGTGTGTTTTCTGCTGTGTGAGTCCTTAAAATTCAATGTCATGAGCACTGCCAGTCCTAGAACGAGATTTAAGCGACAGAACAGTCTAATATCGAATTACCAGGCAAGATCAATCTAACTAATGAGACTGAAAATGAACTGAGAACAGTGTGTACTGTAAGTCTTACTGTAAGCGACACACTGAAATGCTTCTGTGGTCACATGCACTCAAACACTGATCTGATGACCCTGAGAACAACTGATAACGCTTTGCAGATACATCAAAGAAAATCTGTAAACATGAAACAAACACAACATTTGGAGGAAGACTCATGAAGGAGGCTCGTACAGAAACCTGCAGTCACAAACGGACTTTAGCGGAGGCACAATGTCAAACAACACTGATGCTAAGATTTTGGCTTCGTCGAACTACTTACTTCCCAAGCGCTGAAAAAGTACGTACTGTATAGTATGAATGTGTGTGTATGAATGTTATCCGTACTACATTTGCCATATTGTCACCGTCATGTGACCTGCAGAGTTGTGTCGCTTCACTAACATTCAGAAATCCTCTCCCGTGGCCTCATGGGATAGTAAAGTGTCCATCATATGCACACTTCAGAATTTTTTTTAAACTTAAGTTAATAGGATTTTGTTCCTTGAGTGACCTAATGATGCATGACATTTTGTATCACGCTAATTTATGTCAAACAACTATTTGTGTTTGTTTGCTAAGGCTCTTTTTTTTTACCAACCGATGATTATGTACTTCAAAGTCACAATACAAATCAAAAATACAATAAAATAATGTTTTTTTGGAGCATTTGATAAAACACTGAAGAAATTAAACATCCTGACACTTTGATAAAATCTTGAGAATATCAACATTGCACAATCAAAACCTGTGAGAGTTTGATAAAACTGTGAGCCTGCATTCATCTACAGTAAAAACACATTCATTTTCATAAAAAAACACGCAAACACTCACATGCACACTCATGCAAACACACTAAAGTTCGAGTGGCGTCTCGACCTGGTCGCTCAACTGCATGGAGAGGTAGTCAGCAGGACGCCTGCGAAAAGATCACCACACAAACATGCACACATAATGAGTTGAAACATGTTTGAATACACACATATATTATATATATATATATATATATTTTTTTTTAAATGCTGAAGGTGAGCAAGGGCACATTCATACAAATGGGCCAATCACACAACAAAAACTGTAAATGAATGATGAATTTATACTTACAAAAGAGATGGTACTTTGATATACTGTATTATGGTACAAAATGATTATCATATTCAGAGTACCACGGTATTTACCATGGTACTCCAAGGTACTTAAAATAATGTTGTGGCTTTACTGTGTTAATCGTCTAAATAGCCATGGCTATATACCATGTTATTTAAGTGTAAAATGTTTTTAAATGTGGAATTTTTCAAAGTATATTTTTTTTCAGTATTTAATGTGTGTTAAGTGAATCAGTCAATTAATTTGAATTAAATTAAAAGTTAATACATATTCATTCAATGCATTAATCAGTATAAATCAAATATATTTCATATTTAAAAATAAATCATACTACTTTTAAACTGTATACTGATATTAATTAAATGTATTAATTTGCACACATACAATTATTTAATGTTTAAAAATAAAATAGAAAAAGTTGAACTGCTTTTAAACTGTAATTTGATATTAATTAAATGTATTAATTGAGATAAATACAAATTTATTAATACTTGAAAATAAAAAAGTTGAACTACTACTGAATTATTATATACATTTAAAATTATTTTTTTTAATAAAATTTAACTAATTTAACTTTTTTTAAATATATATATATTAAATATGATTTATTTATACCAATTAATAAATGTAAAAGTTTTAAAGCATATTGATATTAATTCAATTTATTAATTGCCATAAATAAAACACTTAATACTGGAAAATTAAAACAAATTTGAACAACTTTCAAACTTTATTTTGATATTATTTGAATTGGCATATAATTTTAATAAAAATGTATAATATATATGAATTGGTAATTGATTACATTATATATAATAATAAAAACTACTTTTAATTTAAAAAGTTGGTCAATTTGTTAAATATTTAAATATTACTTTTTATTTCTACCAATTAATTAACTGAATTTATATTTGTATACATTTTGAAAAGTTTTAAACAGTATATTGATATCAATAAAATTGTATTTGTCACAAATAAAAATGTTCAGTATTAGAAAAAAGCTGAAATGATTTTAATAGGACCTTATGGCAAATGCTTTTAAAAGGACCTTAATGCAACACACACACACACAGATCTGTCCTCACCTGGTTTTGTACAAGTAGACAAACAGCGCGGCACCCAGTGCGAACAGCAGAAGCGCTGCGAGAACAAGCCCGACCTGCAGCGCGACCGGTGGCCCCGCTGGACATACAAATACACACACACACACGGTTACTTCTTTAGGCCAGTATAAACCCTGGACTTCCATAAGAGCAAACTCTAGCAGTTATCTGGCATTAACATCTCTCTGTGTGTGTGGGTGTGTACCTCCATGAACCTGTAGCTCCTGTACAGGTGAACACGAGAGCTTGTAGGTGTTCAGTGTATCAGTGATTTCCTCCCTCTGTTGGTCAGTAACAGCAAGAACAGGCCCCTGCGCGTCCAATACACCCGCCTCGCAGGACACATTCACACCTAACATAGGGTAAACACAGGACATAACCGCCATTATCAATTCATTTCAGGGACATTTGAACACCCTGAATGTGTGTTTTACGGTGTCTTACCTTTAACATGCAAGCTTGTGATCCCACAGGAACACAAACCTTCGAACAAATCAGCCAATTCCTCCTGGTCACAATCTGAGAGAGAGAGATGAAGAACTCAATAAACAGCTCTCAAGAAATGGACATTTTAGACGCATCTCACATTAAGTGCCTACTGAAAAGAGCAGATATTAAAAATCACGCAAAATATACACACTACCGTTTAAAAGTTTGGGGTTGGAAGTCTCTTCTGCGCACCAAGGCTGTATTTATTTGATCAAAAATACAGTAATGTTGTGAAATATTATTACAATTTAAAATAGCTGCTTTCTATTTTAATATAATTTGAAATGTAATTTATTCCTGTGATCAAAGCTGAATTTTCAGCATCATTACTCCAGTCTTCAGTGTCACGTGATCCTTCAGAAATCACTCTAATATGATGATTTGCTTCTCAAGAAACATTTATTATTAATATATACTATTATCTATTAACTTTTTCAGGATATTTAATGTGTAGAAAGTAATGTGGCTTTTTTTTAAATAGAATCTTTTGTAACATTATGTCTTTACTGTCACTTTTGATCAATTTAATGCGTCCTTGCTAAATAGAAATATTAATAACAACAAAAAAAATCTTACTGATCCAGAACATTTGAACATAAGTGTATACTGACTATTTCCATTCATATGTGACTCGATGTATTAATTTAGATGACTTTTACAGACACAGAAATCAACATTTGAAATGTTTCCAGTTCTTTTGAGGACCGTGGGAGCAAAGACTGACAACCTGGAGGACGACAAGGGAAAAGTCATCTAAACTCTTCCATCATTCCAGCAGTTTTAATTCCATGTTCAACATGTTTGTGCATGTTTTGTGGGTTTTTGACACACATACAGTAATTCTTCAAATGTTCTCGAAGAGAGTAATACAACAACTAAACTGATATTTCAGATGCTACTGGCCGGCATGAAACAAATTCATTTTTGTTCCCATTTTTGTGTTTGATTATTTGAATTAAACACTGTTATGTTATAAAAATATGTTATGCATCATGGGTTTTCAACAGAAACCGAATATTTTTATTATTTTAACGGCTTTAACAGATGTACAGAGATTTTGTAGATTGATCTAATATATGCATTATTCGAACAGTGTTTGCCAAGCCACATTATTTTTTACTTGCGCTTCTGGTAGATTGCATTGGTCATAATCGAAATGAGTTTCTGCATGATTCTTGCCATTATTTACTCACCCTCATATCATTTTAAATCATTTTCCTGAAATAATTTTATGTTCCACGGAAAAAACTGGAGCAAACTGCACTTAGAATGACATGAGTGTGAGTAAATGCTACTGTTCGGTTTTTTTGGGGTGAACTATCCCAAACACTTACTTCCTGTTCCTAAATTTCTCTCCAGGCACACATCCACGGAGCTGGACAGGGCAGGTGTCGGGCAGAGGTTCTGGAGGCCTGGAGTCTCCTCGGATGAGACCCAGAGAACGGGCCCGTCTGATGCACATCGAGAGAAAGAACTAAATCGCACAGAAAAACACAGAGCATGAAAACAGCGTACAAAAACTGCTGATTCCAATAACACACTGGATTCAAATAAAAAAGCAGCTCCCTAGCATACCTGAAGGGCACGAGTTGTATGCATGTTGTGTTGTGCTGGAGAAATCTTTGTAACTTTGGGTCAACGGAAAAAACTAGCCAGTCCAGACTGAGCGAGTTTTCCCCATAAACACCTGATCCTGACGGCTCAAAACACAACAGCACTGCACCCAATTCTGATTGATCCAGCGCGGGCAAACCCTGATCTGCACAAACACACACAAAGATCCATGAGCAAACCAATGAATCTGCCGTTTAATCCAAATCACTGCTTTGTCTTTAGAGAACATCAGTCTGAAGTAACAATCCCATTCATTTTCTCCATTAAACACATGTTACTTTGAACGTTTATTTAACTTTTAGTGTATTTTATTATATGTTTGACTATATATGCTTCAATTAAAAAACAAACAAACATGTATATTAGTCAAATTCCCAGTAAAGAATAACACAGTAGCACACTAGTATCCCATTCCAAACATAGTACACATTAAAGGCAAAAAAACAACAACAATCCGAAACAAATACTTAAAAATAAAACAAAATAATAAAATGAAAATAGGAGTAAAATGACTTTTCCCACAATCCTGCATATGTAAATGAGTTGGTCTCATTACATTCCCCAAATACTTATTTGAATATTTAACAATAAACTGACATTGTGTTTTATGCTAACAGCCAATGATTTTACATCATTTTAATGTTTATTCCCTAATAAAATAATGTAATCTACACCCATTTCTCAGATTTCCTATACTTTTCTGTGATTCATCTCAGAGCTGTTATTCAGTCTTCAATGAAGAATTCCCAGAAATGTCAATGGATAAAAAATATGGGGAAAATGCGTTTCAGACACCAAAGTTAAAATGATTTTCGGCTTTGTTTTTGCACACATCAGTCTACTAGTTTTTGACCAAAACATGCACTTTAAGCTGTGCTTCACAAAGACGACCTTTCCAACTCGACACACCCACCTGCGTTAGAGACGTTCCCGATGAGATAGAGCCCGTCTGTTCCTGTGCTGCCCCTGAGCGGGACACTCAATGCTTTAGTGTCTTCCCCAAAAAATACTAAAACAACTCCATTCAATGGAGTCAACGGTGGGCCTATCAATTCCACAAATAAACTTTGGTTTACTGTGTAGTTTAGTCTATAGAATTCATTGATGAGGAGACCCTCAGGGGGTGGAGGTATAGTGGGTTTCGTGGGACAGTTATTCTGCTTCCTTGGTGTGGGAGAAGCGACCTGTGGACACATGATGAAGGGTTAATATGGCATGCATTTGATGAGTCCAGCACATAACATGCTAAGAAAGCAGTGTCATCCGGTCATTATTGCAAAATTAATCCCGTTAGGCTGCTTACATAGGCATCTCTTCATAGTTTATAGTGTGCACAGTGAGTTAATGCTATGCATGCATTCAGAGCCTAGACGATCTACTACATTTGTCATCTGTGACCTGCTACAACTTGATTTATTATATGATTAGACTGCCAGAAATGTGTTTAATTTTTACTTTTACTTTTTTTTTTAAATATTAATTCTCTCTTTTCCTGGCAATTGTTTTGCTCTTTACCGTACCCCTATGTTTGTTTTGCTACATAAACAAATGTAATTTTTGGCTTTTTGTTCTTTATTAAAAATTTTTTTTAAATGAATCAAATCCATTCTGACTGTGGTAATAATGTTTGAAAAACACATCACTGTATACGGTTTGAAAGAAACATGCACATTTTTAAAATAAAATAGCATAAATAAAATAAAAGTAAAGTAAAAAAATAAAAAAATAAAAAATAAAGTAAAAGTAAAGTGAAATGAAATAAAGTAAAGCTAAATAAAAGTAAAATAAAAGTTAAAGGTGCTCTATGTAACTTTTCTACTAAAATGAATCCTTTTTTTATTGCCTGTGTGTGAAGCGGTTGTAATCACACATTAAAATGATCCACTTGTCGAGTTTTGCTATTACCTCTGAAGGCCAGTATTCCTATTTCTATGTGAAGTCTCCGGGTCGGATTTACCGCGAAATCCAACGGATGTGACGTGCATGCGCGCTCCCGAGCCTCTCTCCTTATATACAGTCTATTGTAGACGGTCAGGGAGTTACGTCCGGTTAAAGGCACACGTTTTTCGGCTTAAATCTCAGTCAATCTTTGATCAATATTCCCAAGACTCTAATCGTTCGTAGTGCTGGACGGGGCCTTTCGAACGAGCCCACCCCCGAGGTCCAACTCGCCCGGCTCCCCGAGTTATAGCTGTTCGAAATCGGGGGTCCCAGCGAACGGCGATCCGGTAGGGGGCATCCCCGAGGCCCGCCACTCTAGCGTTCAGGCAAGGGTTCCCCTGGGACCTCCTCCCCCGAATTTGAGCTCTCTGGGTCTTTGCGTTCCAGAGATACGAGCGATTTTCTTCTGAGATCGTGACGTCACCGGCGTCCGCAATTTTGCAGCGCGCCCGATGGTTTTCTGCTAATATCTCCGCGAAAACAACACCAAAAACTATGGAACTTATATGGTTCTTTTCAGCTCGACTAGATGGTCCCAACGAGCTCGGTGCTCGCCGAATCCGTCAAGTATTCGCCGAGATATTTGCGTAATAGACGGTATTGTCTATGAGTTCGAGCACGAGCGCTCTTGTAAAATTTGGTTGCAATCTGAAACATCACCACTAGAGGCCGCTAAAAGTTACGTAGAGCACCTTTAAGTTAAGTTAAGTGAAATAAAAAGAAGTACATTTAAATAAAATGAAGTAAAGTGAAATAAAATGAATTTAAGGGAAATAAAATAAAAAGTAAAAGTACAGTTAAATAAAATAAAGTAAAAGTAAAGTGAAATTAAATAATTTAAAATAAAGTGAAGTAAAATAAAGTGAAATAAAATAAAGTAAAAGTAAATAAAGTGAAATAAAACAAAGTAAAAATACAGTAAAGTGAAATAAAATTAAATAGATTAAAAGAAAAATGAAATAAAATAAATTAAGTGAAATAAATTAAAAATAAAGGAAAAAGTAAAGTGAAATAAAAATAAAATAAAGTTAAAGTGAAGTGACATTTAAAAAAAAAATGCAACAGACCTCAGAGGACTGAATCCTACTAAACACTTTGCAAAAGATACAAATGAGATCAAGTTTCTATGAGAATTCAGCATGAACAGAAACACCAGATCTCACCCTGAAAGCATCGAGGTTGAGTCTCTCGGGTCCACATCGGGTGAGGGTCTCATCGCCGGGTAACGCGCTGATGTCCTCCAGTAGAGGGATCTGTCCTGGTGTCAGCGCTTGCGTTAACTCTGAAACCCTTCTATCAGATCCACGAGTGCGATAAACGACTGCATCCAGCAAACCTCTTCTGGGAATACTGGGACTCTCCTGAGAGGGCGGAGACTTGCTGCGATATAACACTATAGCGTCCGGGCCGTTCTGAATAGTGTTCAATGGGATTCTAATGTCAGGGCCGACCTTAGCACTGCCAATCTGGAAGAACAGATTCACAAAGATTTTAAAAGTGGTCACTTTATGTTTGTTGCAAGGATGCATTAAATGCGACAGTAAAGACATTTATAATTTAAAAAAAAGACTTTCTATTCATTAAAGAATCCTGAAATTCAGAAAATCCACAAAAATATGAAGCAGCACAACTGTTTTCATCATTGATAATAAATGTTTCTTAAGCAGCAAATCAGCATATTAGAATGATTTCTGAAGGATCATGTGACACTGAAGACTGCAGTTATACACACTGGTCTGTTATAGTGGGACATCAACATTACATTTTCATGCCCCTAAACGTGATGCAGAACAAAATGAACTGTGATTGGTTGCTTTACATGTCAGACAGTCTTGGCCAGTTTGAAGTTTCAGTTTGAAGGTCTGGCTACATAAGTCTATAACCTTGCAGACCTTATTCATGTTCAAACAGCAACATTACACACTAAAGTAAGTTGAAAATGTGAAAAAAGCATAATAGGACCCGTTTAAAAAAAATTTAAGACCCCAAACTTTTGAATGGTAGTGTACATAATTGCCTGTTATGTTATAGCTGACACATACTAATAAATGGAATTCAACCATATGACTTATTTGCGCTTCTTTTGCGAGCGTTCAAGTATGCAGCTGCTCACCAGGAAGTATCCGTCATCATCTGTGAAATACCCATTCAGCTCCAGCTCATAGTACACCGCTGCATTCTGTCCATTGATCATCACCAGCCAGATGAAATCCAGCGACATACGGAAGCCAGACGGATGCCACAACTCTATAAACTCCTCGTCCTCGGCTCCTCCTGGGGTGTCAGTATTGATCTCATTAAGTAGGAAATCCATATCGCTATGAATCGCGGGATAGCTACGTCCTGCCACCGTAGAAAAGGCTGAAACAACAAGGCAGAACTTAAAAACATGACAGGACACAGTTCTTTGATACGCATAATATACATTTACATATTTATTCATTCTTATACATGGTATGGACTTGTTTTTAGGTATTCCCTTGTAGCAGATTATAATTAACATGTATTCCGTGCACATTGTGTTATTTATTTAACGTATATGTTTACATGACTCTACGTGGCCTCATTAATTGCCTCTTGGAAACAAATAAAGTGTTTTGAATTGAACCCTAAAAATGTGTCCTTAACATGGAAGAGAAAGAAAGTTGTACATATGGTTGTTTCGCAACATGAAATCAAGACCTACTCATGTTAAGCGGGCAGGACTGAAACCAAACGCAGTCATTGGGTTTTCCGGGACTCCGGGGCCTCGTAACAAACAGTCCCGGATCTCTCGTCCATTCGGTAACACCACACCGACTGGCATGAACACCTGCTGTGTGAAAACTGCAGCATACAAACAGGGATAAACATGGATTATAAAATACACAAATGCCACAATAACGCATTGTATGGCATGTGCTGATCACCTTTCTGTGAGTATGAAGGGTTTTCTCCCGGGTATAAGAGTCTCTGTGAGGTTCTCACTGGGCATGTGCAAGGAGTCACCGTAAACAAAGGCATCGATTGGCTGTTCGTGGCTGAGGGGGCCGTCCTTAGGGAAGTTTGATGCCGGGCCATCATACAACGCCAATGCTGCACTTTGTGGCACTGAAATATCAAATATTACATAAAAATGTATTTAGTTGCATATGAAAATTTCATCACTAAAAAATAAAAATAAAATAAAAAGTAAATACATTTTTTGATTAAAGATACATTAAAGACCACTATGATATTTTAAATTATGGCTTTATTTTCATGACATTGACTACTACTACATACTACTACTAATAGTAATACATTAATAATAATAATACAGTAAAACAGTTTTAAATGTAAAGTACATTTATAATGTACAGTTGTTCTGCTATTCTGCTTAATAAAAAATAATTGTTATATCAGGATGATTTTCATTAATTCTGTTTTTTTCCCATCACATTACCAGAATTTAGAATGAAAATAATGCAAAACACATCCTCCAAAATTATTTTAAAAATGGTTTTACAAATTTGTTTCATTCCCTTTTTACCTGGTTAAACAAAGGTTAAATAAAAAAAATAAAAACATTATGCAAAATATAATCCCATTTTTTTTCTTCTGAATCAGAGGTGATATGTGATTGAAAATGGTTTGAAATAGTATTGTTAACTAAACCACAAATACAAAAAAAATTCATTAAATGAAATAAAAGTTGAAATAAAATATAATATTATATAAAACTTATAACGTAGAATTGTTGCCTCGGCTAAAATAAAAGCTGAAGTACACAAAAATAAAATAAAACGGAATAAAAATAAATAAATGTAATAATTCAATTAAATTATTAAAAGTTCAATTTAATAAATAAAAGCAAAACAGAAATATATTATAAAATTAATAGAAAATGACATAAAATTACTAAAATTGAAAAGAAAACTTAAAAAATGTGACTCCAAAAATTAACAAATACTATAATGGTGTATAAATAATACTAAATTGCACTGGTTTGGAATAGTGATTTTACATAAGTTTATCTACAAGTATCCAATCGACTCTACCTGCCAAAGTCGCAGTATTCACAGGTACGGTGAAGATCCCAGCCTCTTTTGCGATGAACTCCACACTCGAGCTAATGAGGTCTGTGGTGACATCATAAACCACCAAAGAAAACGACCCGTTTGCCTTGCCAACATTGAGTTCCACAAGACCCCGCCGGTCCGGCCCGCTGAGGTCGACTTCGTTGATCCAAACATTCGCAGGGGTCGGCGGTGGGCAATGATTGACCCACATAGGGGTGGGGGGGCCCGTGTAAAACGTCCAGAGGTTTTCCGACTGCCAGCAGCGCTGAATGGACTCGTCCCCCTCCAGAGCCGCCTCATCCTCCAGGTACGGGACCGAGCCGGGAGTCAGAACCGACGCGAGGCCATCGGCGCCTTCTGCGGATTTACGAGAAGTGTACACCACTGCGTCCAACAACCCCACTCCTGAAACGTGTCCCCCTTCAGAGACCGGGTCCCAGTTGGGGCCGTAGAGTGCGATGGCGTCGGGCCCGTTCTGAACGGAGTTGGGCGGAAGAGAGACGGCGGGACGGGGAGTCAGTTCAGAAGAGCCAACTAAGAAGAAGCCACTCTGATCCGTATGCTGTCCACTCAGATCGATGACCCGGTAGGCTGAGTCTCCATTGCCGTTGTAGAACACCAGTGTGTATCCATCCAGAGAAGTGGGATTCGTGCCATCATTGTACAGTTCCACAAATTCATGAGTGTCCAATCTGGGATTGTCACAGTTCACTTCGCTGATAATTAAACATTGGGTCGTTTCTTTAAAAATGCACATTAACACCAAAAAACCCAAACTCAGCTCCACACGCATGGCTGCTGCCCTGATAAAATCTCTCAGCATATCATAATAAGCAAGTGGACCTGTGGAAGGAAAACAGAAGTGTCATTCCAGATGCGTGCAATCACTTTCAAAACATCTTAAGTTTCGTTTCCATTCAATCTAGACACATTGCTTCCGCAACAGTTGCGATATTGACAAATTCAAGGACAACCGATGAACTGGAAGGCATCAAAACACACAAACACATGAAAACAATTCCAAGGTCTGTTCAAAAAGATATTCAATTCTCCACATTCATTTGACACTGACACAAGAGATCATAACCAATAACATTCCACTCAAACCTATGAAACAACATTACAGGTCTTCTGAAGTCGTACTATAGTGTTGCGTGAGGAACAGATTGGTTGCAAGTTTATAAACGACAACAGTTTGGGGGGGGGTGAACTGTTAAGTGCAGCATATTCCTAGTAGCTATGAAGGAAGTGTGGTTCTTGAACGTTAGTTAAGTGTGAACTCTGGCATCTAAATAAACACACAGGCAGGCACTTGCACAACAGCGTCTATCTGAGTCATCAGCTGACCACAAACTCCAATAATCAGCTAATCTGGCTCCTGTCACAGTTATAAATGCCTACCAGGCAACAAGTGCTCTGAACTTCTCAGAAAAAAACTGAACTTTTTCATCTGCCTTGGTTATAGAAGTATTTTTCCCATTCATTTTTCTCATAGGGATTTTTTTTAAAGACTTCCTTTAGTTATAATAATCCATAATCCAAGGTTTTACAAACGAAGTGGCTGAAATAAAGGTCATGTGACAGCAATTAAGCATACTAAATGTCTATCATTGCATACTGTATACTGTCTTAAAAGCGTTAGTTAGCCCAAAAATGAAAATTCTGTCATTAATTACTCACCCTCATTTTGTTACAAACCCGTAAGACTTTCGTTCATCTTCAGAACACTAAGATATTTTTGATGAAATCTGAGAGGTTTCTGTCCCTCCATTGACAGCTACGCAACTACCACTTTGACCCTTCAAAAAGTTAATAAAGAGATTGTAAAACTAATCCATATGAATTGAGCGGTTTAGTCCACATTTTCTGAAGAGACACGATCGCTTTATAGAATGAACAGATTGAATTTAGGCTTTTATTCACACAAACATTCATCAATTCAAACATCAGTTGTGGTAAACTCAAGCATGTTCGCTTGAAGTGTGAGAACCAATGAGGTTCATTCTCGTGTCTGTTCTGTTCGTGCACGTCAAGCAGACAGTTTCGGTTGAGCTTCTGTTGATATGTGAATATAAGCCTAAATGAAATCTGTTCATGATATAAAGCAATTGCGTCTCTTCAGAATTTTGAACTTTTTGAAGCGTAAGTGGTTGTGTTGAACTTTATTCTTGTTCAAACAGACGCTGTATGAAGCAGTAGCTACATAAAGTATTGAATGAAAATGTCTCTGCAACATCTGTGTATTTGGCAAATATTGCATTATTTCACATCAGCTGTGGTAAAGTATGCAAACACCACGCGAGGGGTCACTACGGGACGTCACGTCTCCGTTAGCAGCTCCTCCGACCGGTTACATCCATACTAGACAGTAACAGAAAGGTTACATCCAGCCGATGTCGAACAACACACCTATTGCCTACAGCACTATCATGACGTCATACAGTAACTTTTTGCACACTCCAGTGAAGACAAAGTAGAAGAAGTAGGCTACCTAACTTCACAACGTGAAGTTATAGAAGCATCTAACTTCACAACATCTACACAGACTAGACTAGAGACATTGTTTATTGCTGAGAAATAAACACAATTAATTTAACGTAGGCCTACTTAACAGTTAGCTACTTCACCATCACAAAGACAAACGATTTCGCAATCGGTGCGAAGTTAAAATCCCAGCAGATTTGATCTGTTTAACTCGACAAAGACTAGAGCGAGAAAAACCGCATTGCAACTCGTGTGGTTTAATGGAGAAATGTTTCTTACCGTGACGCCCGATGCCCGGTAGAACAGGTTTGAAAGTGTTTTGTGAAGTTTCAGTAACTTTTGCTGTGTGGAGAAACCGATTTGATCCGGTCGGTCTCTTCCATGCGAGTGTGGGCGGTGAATCTGGATGAATTCACGCACATTCCCGGAGACATAAATCCCGGTTCCCAGAAAGATGCCTCTGTCCTTTGTGTGCATTGCATCAAGGCTTTTCCTACACACGTATTGCTTCACAGTGGGTGCATCATTTCCCGTGTTCTACAATTACCCCAAAACTGTTAAGACATTTAAGTTACACTTAAAAACCAATGTAGTTGCTAGGTACAAAATATATAACCAAGTTTAATTTATTTTAAAGAAAGATGATGGCACAGACACACTTGGATAGAAAAAATACAACATTAAGAGTATTTCCTCAGCTAGGCTACTGATTCTTGGGAACTTTTTTGAAAGTTCTTGAAACTACATTTCTTTCATCTTCTAGCCTATAGAATACTGTTTTGATTGTCCCAGATCCCATAGCCTACTTTTAATTTTAAAATACGAAAATTCATCATTAAAAATGTAAAAAAAATATATATTATACACAGCGAGTGAAATAAATTCAATAAGTAGGGTGTGACATTTATTTTTAAACCATTTTTACACAACAGTTGTGACGTCATTTCCAACGTGACCAACACTTTTGCCAAGTGTAAGGTCACATTAAAAAAGTCTTGGGAACAAACTTGATTTATTTTCTTGCATGTATGTATCTATACTGTTTTAATTGTCACAGACAGACCCCAGACGTTTAGTATTAAATTATGAAAATTCTTTTTTTTTTCTCCAAAAACTATACAACGAGTGTAGAATTCAATTAGTAGCTATTGTGTGTAAATTATTTGTAATGTTTTTTTTACACAAATTACGAATTTTCAACAGTTGTGACGTCATTTCCAACGTGACCAACAATTTTACCGCAAATAAAGTTTTATAAAAAGTGTTTATCGAGGAGATAACGGTGTCAGTGAAGAGCCCGAGGAGAAATATGGAATTTGTGATATGAATATGTGAAGAAAACAAAGACAATGTAGGTAAAAAAAAAAAAGTTAGCTTTTTTTTATTTTTTTATCCACAGAATATTTTTAATTATCCACCTTTTTAAGCTACACACCCATTCGCGCAAAGCGTCATGGGATGTGCGTCATTTCCAATCAGGGTGCAATTTAGTCAAGCTATTCGTACTTCAGGGTATATGTTTAAAGGTCATGTGTGGCTCTTAAGTAATTTCCTTCATCTTCACTCCTAGGCGTGATAGGTAATCAGTATTTTGTTGACCTTATCATACAGACACTTGATAGAAGGCTACTTAATAAATTCACCCCAGAATTCCTTTGCGGCTGTTTTTCCATGATAAGAAAAGATGTCCATTATCTGTGCATACAGTGCACTTCCGGCTTGGTAAGTGTTCCCTGTTTTTTTTTAAGGGATAGTACTCTCAAAAATGAACATTTTGTCATTACTTACTCACCTTCAAGTTGTTCCAAACCTGTATGAGTTTCTTTTTTCTGTTGAACACAAAAGAAGATATTTTAAAGATTGTTGGTAACCAGACAGTTTGTAACCCATTGACTTCCATAGTATTGACTTTTTTTAATTGACTTTTTCCTACTCTGAAAATCAATAGGTGTCCTCAACTGTCTGGCTACCAACATTCTGAAAAAGTGTGTATCTCGATCAGGGTGATCCAACCCAATTTTGCTTTGAAAAACCGGATATGCAAAACAATGGGATTTCCAAATTCAGATCATTCTGATCCCGATTAAACTTTCTAAACAACTGGGCCCAAGGGTTCAAATACAGTCAAATTTAGACCCATAAATTCTCAATTGCAACACCAGAGGTTGCTGTCTCCACAATATTAGGTGTACATTGTCTAGGCTGTGTTCAGAATAGCGTACCACCATACTGTTCTTACTACTGCAGAAGTATATAGTATATATATACTGTCCACAATATCTAGGTACAGTATGTATACTGAATTTTCTTTGCATGCAATACATACAACAAAGCTCACTCTTTGAAGAACAGATTCTATATGGAACCTTAAAGGGTTCTGTCAGGCGCTTCATATATAGAACCTTGTAGGGGTTCCCATCATGAGATTTAAATTTTATGTTTACATTTTTAGAATTAAAATTTTTGTAATTAAACAGCTCATAAACATACTTTATCACTAGACAAAAATTGAAATAACCCGTTTAACATGAAAGTATTGTGCAATAATTTAAGACTTATATAGAACCTTTTAGGGATAAAAAGTTCTTTAAAATTGGTTCAAGAACCCTAGGGTTCCTCCTTTACTGAAATGAGGCAACCTCAATGACGTATGCGTCCGACAAATGCGACCTTCGGAGGACGCAGCCTTCGAATTGAGACACAGCATATGTTTATTTCTACAGCGGCCATTTTTAACCTTTCAAGCTATGTGTGGAATGGCATCTATGCTTAATGAATACTGTGCACTATATACTGTTTTGTATACTACGATTGAAAAAAATAGAATGTGAAATGCAATGTCTAATTGTGCATAAAAATCATGTATGGATATTACTTCCAGTTCGTTCATCACACTGGAAATGAAAAACGGGAGGATTTTTGATAAAAGCTCAAGTCGACGGCATTGGAGTAACCAGCACACTTTGGAAAATGTTGCGGAAATAGTTTGGTAGTGTGCTATTCTAAACACTCCCACAGCACATTTTTGGTGTCTTATTTAACACATCCTTTTTCAGATCACAGAGTCTCTGCTAATGAGCTGACGAGTTGAATCAGATGTGCTATACAGGCGAGACCTCCAGTTCAGTTCTGTCTGCGTCTCTCTGGACAGTCTCACATATTTTATCTCTATCACTTGTTCTATGTATAATTCCTGCACTCTTGAAGTTCTACAGAAGCTGCCAAACGCTGTTTTTGGCAGACCCATCACACCCAAACCAGCCTACACACTGACACCAGTAAACACAGCCCATGTGTGTGGTTTTACGCTGAGGTTTTTTAAGGTCTTTGAGCAGATACATCACATGTGACCTGTGATTATCAACTTCCACACAAACTCTTATTTTAAAGTGGAGTAGAGCTGTTGAATCTATTCATCTTTTGTTAAACAAATGAAGTCTAATCTTAGGTTGTTTGGTATGCATATTATTTCAAACTATATTTGTACACTCACCAAAAGGATTATTAGGAACACCATACTTATACTGTGTTTGACCCCCTTTCGCCTTCAGAACTGCCTTAATTCTACGTGGCATTGATTCAACAAGGTGCTGAAAGCAATCTTTAGAAATGTTGGCCCATATTGATAGGATAGCATCTTGCAGTTGATGGAGATTTGTGGGATACACATCCAGGGCACGAAGCTCCCATTCCACCACATCCCAAAGATGCTCTATTGGGTTGAGATCTGGTGACTGTGGGGGCCATTTTAGTACAGTGAACTCATTGTCATGTTCAAGAAACCAATTTGAAATGATCTTTGTGACATGGTGCATTATCCTGCTGGAAGTAGCCATCAGAGGATGGGTACATGGTGGCCATAAAGGGATGGACATGGTCAGAAACAATGCTCAGGTAGGCCGTGGCATTTAAACGATGCCCAATTGGCACTAAGGGGCCTAAAGTGTGCCAAGAAAACATCCCCCACACCATTACACCACCACCACCACCAGCCTGCACAGTGGTAACAAGGCATGATGGATCCATGTTCTCATTCTGTTTACGCCAAATTCTGACTCTACCATCTGAATGTCTCAACAGAAATCGAGACTCCTCAGACCAGGCAACATTTTTCCAGTCTTCAACTGTCCAATTTTGGTGAGCTCTTGCAAATTCTAGCCTCTTTTTCCTATTTGTAGTGGAGATGAGTGGTACCCGGTGGGGTCTTCTGCTGTTGTAGCCCATCCGCCTCAAGGTTGTGCGTGTTGTGGCTTCACAAATGCTTTGCTGCATACCTCGGTTGTAACGAGTGGTTATTTCAGTCAAAGTTGCTCTTCTATCAGCTTGAATCAGTCGGCCCATTCTCCTCTGACCTCTTGCATCAACAAGGCATTTTCGCCCACAGGACTGCCGCATATTTGATGTTTTTCCCTTTTCACACCATTCTTTGTAAACCCTAGAAATGGTTGTGCGTGAAAATCCCAGTAACTGAGCAGATTGTGAAATACTCAGACCGGCCCGTCTGGCACCAACAACCATGCCACGCTCAAAATTGCTTAAATCACCTTTCTTTCCCATTCTGACATTCAGTTTGGAGTTCAGGAGATTGTCTTGACCAGGACCACACCCCTAAATGCATTGAAGCAACTGCCATGTGATTGGTTGATTAGATAATTGCATTAATGAGAAATTGAACAGGTGTTCCTAATAATCCTTTAAGTGAGTGTATATTTGTTGCTATATTTGTCCCCTAACAGGGAACATTCTCTGAATGTTCTGACAAGGTTCTGTCAAAGTTATGAACAAACGTTCTCCCAGTAACATTTATAGAATGTTTGTTCAAAGTTAATGTTCATGAAAGATTTGCACGAAAACCTTATTTATGCAATATGCATTGTTTAAATAATGTTCTTCTGAAACATTTTAGTTGGTAGTTTCTTTAACATTTTTTAAATGTTACTACTTGTTTGAGAACGTTCAAAGAACATTCAAAAGTAACACTCAAAATGTTTGCGGGATATTAAAATAGAATGTTCCCTTAACGATTACATAACCAAGAAAAAAAAACATTTTTACAACATTTAAAAAACTAGAAGTTTTGAACGTTCAAAGAACATTCAGACATAACGTTTTCATAACATAATGGGAACATTATGGGAATGTTCTTAGAACATAGTTATTTTTTTCTATTGCATATAAAAGAGAACAAACTATAACACTGATATTCTACAGTTCTTAATCTTGCATTTACACCATTTATGTGCTAAAATGTGTCGTTGTTATCTGTTGGATTTCAGATTACAAACAAATGTAATCTATTCTTGAATTCACTTTATTTTATTCTATTACATATTAACTTATTTACAGTATAACATTTTGTATGGATGATAAAGTAGGCCAAAAATTAGTTTCATGAGGTGTTTTCAGCATAATTGTTGATAATAGCCGCGTTTCCACTGCCGGGCCAGGGCCGGGCCGTGCTAGTGCGTGC